CTGAATATTTAACCTAGGATGTGACTGAGGAAAATCCAAAGTGATGAAAAGAACTGTCAAAATCTAGATGGGGAGTTGCACTAGCCCTACACATGTGGAATGTCGTAATGTTCATATATCTGGTAAAATTAGAAGAATTCAAGTAACTGTGTATATTCTTGTCGGTGCTACTCTTTTAATTAATTACATCATGACATGCAGGTTACTATAAAGCTAAGGGACCATTTGTCCACCAGCAGTATCTAGCATCACCAACTTCGTATAAGTTTGTAACATTTAAGTGATTTTGTAAAAGATTTTCTTAAAATTCTTAATGTTAAATGACCATAATTATCATACCGATGAGTATTAGTTCTATATCAACGTCTACCACAGTTGTAAAAGTTAAGATTGTGGGTTGGTTTGCCAGCATCGGTTAATGGGAATTTCCCTTTAGTCGAGAGTTAGTGTCCGGCTACAGACTGATGGGTCACTAGTTCGAGCCCCAGTGGTGGCGGCAGAGTGTTTATCATTACTCCGTATCAACAGATTTGATGTTGTGATCAGGATTCTGATAACCCATTTTGGCACATTTGGAAAATTGTTTTAAAAAGTGAAAATTATTTTATTTGAAAAAATTAACCCATCCTCTCCAAAAACAATAAACAATAACCAGTTGTTTAAAAGGTCAAGACAAGTAAACACATTCCGAGGTGTTCACTTAGAATCAAGCTCCTCAGCTGGGTATGTACACAAATTTCTTTCAGTCCATATGAGCGAGATTAGGTGTATGTACGCAAACCATGACCTGGTGGGGGCACAGAAATTCTTTCGAGCTTGATGGAATGTTAATTTCTTGTCTCTGAAACATCCATTCCCGTGGGTAATGATTAAATGAAAATGTGTATAGAAAAACGTATGTTTTAAAATTAACATTAAGATCTACATATGGATATTAATTCACGGCGTAAAAATTATCACTTTTTACTTTCCAATGCTACCATATGGCAAGGTTAAAGAGAAAACACATCAAAAACACTATGAGGTTTTTAGGCTTCAGAATTGCTCTTATTTGTGGAAAGTAAATTTCTTAGCTGTATTTACCCAAAGTTTGAATCTAGGTACCTCTTTAAAAACACCTAGAGGAAAGTCCTTACGAAATCTTTACTCAACCGCAATATGAATTAACGGCAATTCATAAACAGATCGCTAAAGGCCAAGATATCGTATGACAGTATACATATTACGGTCAGAGGAAGTAACACTTTCACATCACATGTAGTTTGGAATGTTTACAAATAGATATTGATACATATATAAGAGGTGATATAGTGATATTTAGATTAAGAATTTAACGAAAACCAAAAACGTGGTCAAAATCATGTAAGTGGACACATGAGACTCAGGGGACCTATATCATAAAACAGCCAGTGCGAGGAACACGCCATTTAGTTCTAGTTTTCTTGATAACCAAATATACCTTGAACTTGCAGGTTGCACTTACTGAAAATCAGTGGGAGACAAATGAAGTCCACGTAAGTCTGACAGCACTGTACCAACACACAGCTCACTGTACTGTCCAATAACGCACAGCTCACTGTACTGTACCATCACACAAAGCTCACTGTATTGTACCGTAACACACAGCTCACTGTACTGTACCGTAACACACAGCTCACTGTACTGTACCATCACGCACAACTCACTGTACTGTACCATCACACAGAGCTCACTGTACTGTACCATCACGCACAACTAACTGTATTGTACCGCAACACACAGCTCCCTATACTGTAACGTCACACAAAGCTCACTGTACAGTACCCTAACACACAGCTCACTGTACTGTACCATCACACAAAGCTCACTGTACTGTACCATCACACAAAGCTCACTTTATTGTACCGTAACACACAGCTCACAGGGTGACACTGACCAGTGTGGTAGTAACTGTGTTATTGTTATATACTGTTTATTCCTATCTACTGTACCGTCACAACGCTCACAGGGTGACACTGACCAGTGTGGTAGTAACTGTGTTATTGTTATATACTGTTTATTCCTATCTAACGGGGTGACATTGACCAGTGTGGTAGTAACTGTGTTATTGTTATATACTGTTTATTCCTATCTAACGGGGTGACATTGACCAGTGTGGTAGTAACTGTGTTATTGTTATATACTGTTTATTCCTATCTAACAGGGTGACATTGGCCAGTGCCCTGTCTAACAGGGTGACATTGACCAGTGCCTTGTCTAACAGGGTGACATTGACCAGTGTGGTAGTAACTGTGTTATTGTTATATACTGTTTATTCCTATCTAACAGGGTGACATTGGCCAGTGCCCTGTCTAACAGGGTGACATTGACCAGTGTGGTAGTAACTGTGTTATTGTGATATACTGTTTATTCCTATCTAACAGGGTGACATTGACCAGTGCCCTGTCTAACAGGGTGACATTGACCAGTGTGGTAGTAACTGTGTTATTGTTATATACTGTTTATTCCTATCTAACAGGGTGACATTGACCAGTGCCCTGTCTAACAGGGTGACATTGACCAGTGTGGTAGTAACTGTGTTATTGTTATATACTGTTTATTCCTATCTAACGGGGTGACATTGACCAGTGCCCTGTCTAACAGGGTGACACTGACAGTGTGGTAGTAACTGTGTTATTGTGATATACTGATTATTCCTATCTAACAGGGTGACATTGACCAGTGCCCTGTCTAACAGGGTGACACTGACCAGTGCCCTGTCTAACAGGGTGACATTGGCCAGTGCCCTATCTAACGGGGTGACATTGACCAGTGCCCTGTCTAACAGGGTGACATTGACCAGTGTGGTAGTAACTGTGTTATTGTTATATACTGATTATTCCTATCTAACAGGGTGACATTGACCAGTGTGGTAGTAACTGTGTTATTGTGACATACTGATTATTCCTATCTTACAGGGTGACACTGACCAGTGCCCTGTCTAACAGGGTGACATTGACCAGTGCCCTGTCTAACAGGGTGACATTGACCAGTGCCTGTCTAACAGGGTGACACTGACCAGTGTGTGGTAGTAACTGTGTTATTGTTATATACTGTTTATTCCTATATACGGGGTGACATTAGTGCCCTGTCTAACAGGGTGACACTGACCAGTGTGGTAGTAACTGTGTTATTGTGATATACTGATTATTCCTATCTAACAGGGTGACATTGACCAGTGCCCTGTCTAACAGGGTGACATTGACCAGTGTGGTAGTAACTGTGTTATTGTTATATACTGTTTATTCCTATCTAACGGGGTGACATTACTGATTATTCCTATCTTACAGGGTGACACTGACCAGTGTGGTAGTAACTGTGTTATTGTGATATACTGATTATTCCTATCTTACAGGGTGACACTGACCAGTGTGGTAGTAACTGTGTTATTGTGATATACTGATTATTCCTATCTAACGGGGTGACATTGACCAGTGCCCTGTCTAACAGGGTGACACTGACCAGTGTGGTAGTAACTGTGTTATTGTGATATACTGATTATTCCTATCTAACGGGGTGACATTGACCAGTGCCCTGTCTAACAGGGTGACATTGGCCAGTGCCCTATCTAACGGGGTGACATTGACCAGTGCCCTGTCTAAGAGGGTGACATTGACCAGTGTGATAGTAACTGTGTTATTGTTATATACTGTTTATTCCTATTTTACAGGGTGACATTGGCCAGTGTGGTAGTATCAGTAACTCTTTTACTGCCACTATGAAGGAATGTCAGAACCACAAGTGTAAGGAGAAAACCAAAGCTAACGGCGACATAAAACGCTGGTGTAGGAATTCACTTAATGCATGCTGCTTTGTGAATTATAAGAAATGTAAGGCTTGGCTGTGCGTGCCGAAGAATAAGGCAAATGGAAATAAATTAACACTCACGCAAGGATAATAAAATGTGTGACAACACATGATATTGATATTAATGTCATCATTATCTCCAATTCTGTAAATTGATAATCTACCAAATTTTGTGGCCAAGTAATTTTTATTAGAAAAAAAATATAGGAATTCCTTCCAATCTTTTCCTAGTGGAACAAAGTTGTAAAGGCAGTCTACAATAAACACCAATGCATCCTAAAACCATGTTGATTTCTGTGATGTTTCCATTTTGTTGAGTTTCTTGAAATCACCTCCGATGAATCTCCTCTCTATTTGAACACATTAATATTTGACAAGTTATTTACGTTTAATATATTGCAAAGTAAGAAACTGGAGTGGAAACTTACCACACTGCCAGTTCCTCATTTTAATCAGAGGAATAGATACCAAACAACAATCTTAAATCAACCTGTTGATTTACAAAGTTGATAATGAAGATTTTAAATGATGGAGTTTTTGATAAACGTGTGTTTTTTCTTTTGCAATTACAAGAACATAAGATATTTTACAGTACATACTTGTGACTAAGTTCTAAAGTTCTCTGACATAATTTTATTATCAACAGGTCATGGAGAATGAGTTTCATATATAGTCTGTGATCTCACTTCTATACCAGTCACACCTTCACCTTACTACTGTATGTATTTACAGACAGGAAGGATTGACACACAAGTGAAAAACACCTTTTAGATACAGAAGACACAAACAATGAATTAAATTGTATTACACAGCTGTTTCGTCCTTCTTGGATTCGTCGGTGAGCTAAAGTGGGCCTAAATTTTGAAGAGTAGGAGGCAAGTGAGGCAAATCCAAACTGATCAGTCAAAAACAGGACAGGGAGGACCAGCAGCCAAATTAAAAAATAAATTTTGTAATTTTCATAAATCAGATAATTTTTGAACAGCATTAAGTACATGTGTATATTCTGAACCAGGCCACTATTCGAATGAATAAAAACGTGACATGCAGGTTACTGCAAATCTCGCGAATTACAAAGTCCAACAGCAGTGTTGAAGTAAACTTAGTGAAACCATGGCAGGATGAGATATAACAATGTTGCATTTGAATTAAGATCTCTTTATTGTGTTGTCACAAATAAGTTGGCACCTTTGTGTTGAAGCTGTTTACTAGCTTGTTACATGTATCATCACCAGAAATTCCAGTCAGATTTGTTTTCATTATTTCTAAAATATATACATCATATATTTTACAATATTTGTCAAACAGTTACAATCAAGATTTGAAACAATTCTTCAGTGATTCACCTCAAATGGCTGTGACTTCCACACTATTCACATTTTTACGTCCCTTTAACTCTAGTGAACAACTAAAAACATTGTTGTAGGTCACTATCCCTTAACAATTTAAACTTTCAGTCAAATAATACTGCTAAATATGATTTCAATAAAACTTAGTGAAGTTCTGTAAACAGTGGTTACGAAGCCTTCGTAGAATAGTCAGGTATCAAACATGGCTGCCACAGCAGAATTTTTTTAATATGTATTTCAACTTTAAACAACAGGACTGAATATATATTTAAACTTAACACAACATGTCTGCTGTATGGATTTCAATAATGTTTCACTGAGATGTTTGGTACATACACCTGGTCATAAGTTTTCAGAACTGATCCCATTGTACCAGTATACCTAGACTCTATCCTTTCTGTAGAAGTATTCTATCATGACGTAAAAATGGTATTTATAAATTGAAATATCCATTACTATAAAATCTTCTTATCGTATATCTGTAAGTTGTTTTCATAGGACTACCACCTAATCTCGTATATCTGTAAGTTGTTTTCATAGGACTACCACCTAATCTCGTATATCTGTAAGTTGTTTTCATAGGACTACCACCTTATCTCTTACCTGACACCTGACATCCATCAGATACTTATTTATTCACTGTGTTGAGCATTAAATCCTCCTGATTATGACCAGTAGACTTGATATTTAACAAGACTTTGCTGACAGATATACCTATATTCAGGCAACATTAGGTGACAAACGACTGTGTACATCTCAGTCAAAGCACTTCTGACAGCAAACTATTACTGACATATCAGTCAATTCTACACAAGTCAGTACCTAAAACACTGAAATCGTGATGGAAAGGCTAAGATGTTGGCACCACTGTAGGGGTCTGGAAATACTGGTTAGATTGTCTGTGTTCTTTCAAATACTCTCCTCCCTTCTCTTCATAGTCTTGCCGTGATATACTGTGGGCTACAAAATGGGGAGACAACGCCCATTTCCTAGCTCCATACCATGTATCCAAAATGGGGTTAGCTGGAGAAAGTATACAAACACACATGTTCGTCCAATTCAGTTTTGAACAGGATGAAAAACAAAGACAATCCTGACATCAGTATATTTTATGAGATAAACATAAGTGGTTTTCATGTTCATATTTTTTAAGGTGACCATATAAAGTTTCTGATTACAACAAAATGATCAGCCTGGACAAATGCCTTGCTGTATTACTATAAACATCAGATATCAAAAAGTGCCAGTAGTTATGTCCTTCAATACTTTATCACCTAAGCTAACTTTTCATTTACATCATTATCTAGAACTGTTTCTAATGTTGCAACTGGATGACAAGCAGTGGTTTAAGTTCATACATGAAACTATTTTTTTCAGTTTTTCCAGAAGAGCAAAAAATCATGGTGGTCCTCTTTACGTCGTGCATTTTTAGCAACTCACTCTTGTGAATTTGGCCTTATACCTGTGTATTTAGCCCCCTATTAACAAAACCCTGAATTAACACTATTGGATTTTCTCACATATGAGGTACTGTTTTCGGTATTGATCCCCCCCAAAAAAGCCAACAGAATTCACATGTTGGATTGACTTTTAGAGTATTTTTGGGATCAATCTCAAAATAATTTTTGATAAGTATAATTTTCAGGACTGATCTCATAAACAAGCACAAAAATCCATCCAAAATATAAATTCCGTTGGTTTTCCGGGATCCATACAAAAATACTACCTCATATGTGAGAAAATACAACAGCGTTAATTTATGCTTTCGTGATTATAGGGCTAAATGCATCAGTATTAACTCAGATTCACATGAGTGAAATGCTACAAATACACAACAAAATGAGGAATTTTTCCTCTTCTGGAAAAATTCTGGTTTTATAATGTTTATCTTAGACCTTCAACCAAACCTCTTACCTAACACTAATATATCTGTTCACATCCATTGCTCAAATATTCACTCTGTCGTGCATTAAAACCTCTTGACCTATCATAATTGCTACAGGAAATGAAGTATCCTACCTGCACATGAGACGTTGAATAAGGAGTGAAAGGGCCTCATTTCTAACAATTCTGTTTCCAGTCTCTGCTGGAAGTTCCTGAACATTGCATTACCACCAGTTAAGAACACATTCTGTAAGACAATTAAAAGACGAACAAAGACATTACATAGTATCTCAAGACTTCATTTGAGTGACGACCTACATTTTTATAATCATATTGTTTCGTTGAAGGTAAAAACCATCTTAACAATCTCAAGTAAACTGTTTTTGTATTTCTTAACATCCAATCAATAGCAATGCTCATTCAAAGTGTTATCCCACAACTGGCACTCCCATTGTTGCAGTACACCTGCCACATAAATTTTTGCTGTATTCAGAAGTGACGGAAAACAGCTGTATTTAAGCATGTGAGTTAATTTGACAGAATTACTTTCTGAAATTACGTTTAACGATAAGAATAACTGTTGAAATAAGTGATTTTATAGGTTGTAATGAACAAGTTTATTTACGGAAAATCATGAAATCACTTATGTTTGTTAAAGTTTGAAACCATAGGTCTGCTAGGAGCAATTATTTTGGTGTCCTTTCATCAGGCAAAGTTCAGCATAATGACAGCTAAATAAAGATTGAACAACAAAACTGTTGATTTTTTATTGCTTTGATTTGTCAGGACAGAAAGACAATAGTGGCCAGCCATTTTTGTCTTTCTTCAACTTTGCCATAAAACAGCTTATATTCCATGACACTGACCATGTATTCTCTATATAATGCGTAAATATAATACCTGGGCCAGTCTATTCTGTCGTTCAGCATCATGTTTTTTCAGGACATAGTTCATGGTTTCTGCTATACCAGCTTGTTCCAAACCCAGCATGGAGGGCTGGAATAACAGCTCTGGTACCCTGATATGTAAGATAATGAAAATAATAGTCCACTCATGGCACACTGCAGATATAATGAGAAAAATCTCTACTGATGTAAATATTAACAAAATAGTGAAATTATCGTCCTCTACAGATATATGTATATATGAATGGCCAGGTGTGGTCTGTAGTACTCTGTATTACTAACCTGATTCTCTGGATGACCAGGTGTGGTCTGTAGTACTCTGTATTACTAACCTGATTCTCTGGATGACCAGGTGTGGTCTGTAGTACTCTGTATCACTAACCTGATTCTCTCGATGGCCAGGTGTGGTCTGTAGTACTCTGTATCACTAACCTGATTCTCTCGATGGCCAGGTGTGGTCTGTAGTACTCTGTATCACTGACCTGATTCTCTCGATGGCCAGGTGTGGTCTGTAGTACTCTGTATCACTAACCTGATTCTCTCGATGGCCAGGTGTAGTCTATAATATTCAGCAATATCAAACTCTCCCTGAGGATCTATGCTCTTATCAAGCTCCCTGTGGTAATGTGGAATATTGAATGATATGATTTATGGGATAATTATAACAGAATATTTTAGTAGTGTAGCTGTAGTGTAACATACCAATCCTGATAGCAACTATTCAACATTCAGTGTTACTTTTGGGTTAGATAAAACAGACTCCCTATTTGTTAATTCACAACTTCTCTTGACTAAACCTCAATAACTTTACCATATAGGGTAAAACAGACAATTAAGGATAATTAATATATCTAAGAATTTGGGACCAAATTTTAATTGAATCTTAAATTCAAATTTCTAGAATTTCCAAAAAGAAAGAAATAAAAATGGTGTTCAACAGATGATTTCTGCATTTTGACCAGTAATGAGCTGCATTCATCCATGGTAAATCCTAGGTTTCACAATAAAAGACAATTCAGTAATTTTTTTCAACTCTAGCATAGGACAGCTCCCTAATATATGAAACTCCAGTTTAGAAGCAAGAGTATTAACTAAAGGTAACATCATAAAGATATGAGGAAAAAAAAGGAAAAGGAAAAAAAGGACAGAAAAAGAGCAAAGAAAAGAGGAAGACAACAGATAGCTCAAAATTGTAATGGAATGTATAAAACAATATTAATACAGTGTCATTCTACATGAGATAAGATCTGTAAGCCATTAAAAAAAAGCATTCTCTAGGACATCACACTTCTTTGTCCAACAGTTTTTACTCTGCAAATTCCTAATAGATCTAGTGCTTAAAGAAAGCACTCCAAACATGCCTTACTTTTGAAATTCTGGATCATGTTCCCGTAACTGTGTCTCAAGTTCCTCTAGTGTTTCTTCTTCAGCCTCTGAATCACTGTCAGCATTTTCTGGGTGCTGTCAATATAACAAATAAATTATCAACAGGACTGTGAGATATCAACACAACAGGACATGAGCTATGGAGACAATAGGACTGTGGGTTATGGAAACAATGGACTGTTGGCCCTGGAGACAATAGGACTTTAGGCCCTGGAGACAACAGGAATAGGGGTCCTGGAGACAACAGAAATAGGGGTCCTGGAGACAACAGGAATAGGGGTCCTGAAGACAACAGGAATAGGGGTCCTGATGACAACAGGAAAAGGGGCCCTGGAGACAACAGGAATAGGGGTCCTAAAGACAACAGGAATAGGGGCCTGGAAGACAACAGGAAAAGAGGTCCTGGAGACAACAGGAAAAGAGGTCCTGGAGACAACAGGAAAAGAGGTCCTGGAGACAACAGGAATTGAGGTCCTGGAGACAACAGAAATAGGGGTCCTGGAGACAACAGGAATAGGGGTCCTCGAGACAACAGGAAGTGGGGTCCTGGAGACAACAGGAAAAGAGGTCCTGGAGACAACAGAAATAGGGGTCCTGGAGACAACAGGAAAAGAGGTCCTTGAGACAACAGGAATAGGGGTCCTGGAGACAACAGGAAAAGAGGTCCTAGAGACAACAGGAAAAGAGGTCCTGGAGACAACAGGAAAAGAGGTCCTGGAGACAACAGGAATTGAGGTCCTGGAGACAACAGGAATAGGGGTCCTCGAGACAACAGGAAGTGGGGTCCTGGAGACAACAGGAAAAGAGGTCCTGGAGACAACAGAAATAGGGGTCCTGGAGACAACAGGAAGTGGGGTCCTAGAGACAACAGAAATAGGGGTCCTGGAGACAACAGGAATAGGGGTCCTGGAGACAACAGGAAAAGAGATCCTGGAGACAACAGGAAAAGAGGTCCTGGAGACAACAGGAAAAGAGGTCCTGGAGACAACAGGAATTGGGGTCCTGGAGACAACAGGAATAGGGGCCCTGGAGACAACAGGAAAAGAGATCCTGGAGACAACAGGAAAAGAGGTCCTGGAGACAACAGGAAAAGAGGTCCTGGAGACAACAGGAATTGGGGTCCTGGAGACAACAGGAATAGGGGCCCTGGAGACAACAGGAAAAGAGATCCTGGAGACAACAGGAAAAGAGGTTCTGGAGACAACAGGAAAAGAGGTCCTGGAGACAACAGGAATTGGGGTCCTGGAGACAACAGAAATAGGGGTCCTGGAGACAACAGGAAAAGAGGTCCTGGAGACAACAGGAATAGGGGTCCTGGAGACAAAAAGATTGTGAGATCTTGAGGCAAAAATACTGTACGCTATGGAGACAATAGGATTGTGGGTCCTGGAGACAAAAATACTGTACGCTATGGAGACAATAGGATTGTGGGTCCTGGAGACAAAAATACTGTACGCTATGGAGACAATAGGATTGTGGGTCCTGGAGACAAAAATACTGTACGCTATGGAGACAATAGGATTGTGGGTCCTGGAGACAAAAATACTGTACGCTATGGAGACAATAGGATTGTGGGTCCTGGAGACAAAAATACTGTACGCTATGGAGACAATAGGATTGTGGGTCCTGGAGACAAAAATACTGTACGCTATGGAGACAATAGGATTGTGGGTCCTGGAGACAAAAATACTGTACGCTATGGAGACAATAGGATTGTGGGTCCTGGAGACAAAAATACTGTACGCTATGGAGACAATAGAAAGTTAAGCTATAGAGACAATAGGAATTTATACCATGGAGATAACTATGGTTGTATTGTTATTCTTACCTGACAACTAATATGACATGAAAAAATTGAGATCATAATACAATAATGTAAATAGTGCAAGCCATATTACTTAAACTAAACTGATGTCAGATATCACAAAAATGTAATTTTTTAATCCCTGTGTAATTCAACACTTCGTCATTCAAATTTTATTTATAACAAAATTGTATTGAATGAAACTACAACATGGAAACAGAATCACGGAAGACAAGATGAAGACAAAACATAACACAAATACAGGAACCATAACATATTTTGATTATCAACACTGAAAACAAGTTCTCCTAATTAACAATATAACAAATTCACTCATTAGCATTCAGAAATCTTCACTATCATAAGGTCTGCTCCATCTTTACTATCGTTACTCACAATTTCTTTGTAAACTTCCCAGTCCGCATCATTCTGACCAAAGGTGTCTTCCTTCTTTTTCTTCTTAGATCCACCTAAGTTGCAGGGTTAAATAGGTACACTTAATATACAAGGTTTTTTTAATCAGCAGATGAAATTAAATGCAAATAGACACAAAACTCACTATTTCTTTTCCCCAATTCATTGCAACAATTGCCATCTATATGACCTTTATTTAAACAATCTTGGTGGGAAGTTGGATCATTTGCCTTATTTTGTTCTTATCTATCCACAATTTTAAAAAGCACAACTCGGGACCAAGGGGAGTCTATGTAATATCAAATTTGAAAATGAGTCCATCCAAGAAATATTTAACTCCGAACTTCAACATTCAGTGTGCCCCATCCCCCCACCTGCCTGAAGCAATTCTGTTTTTTTGGTCAGTTTCAAAGATAAACTTGTAAAGTTAAGGACCTTAAGGAGTATACATATGAAATTTGATCCATCCAGTGCTTCTCAGGAAATAACGTTAACATCAGAACTTAGACGAAAGATGATCTACTACTTACAATCTCATGGTGGTGGACTAAAAATGTAATCATTTATATACCAAATTAAAATTTCAGGAAAATTGAGGAAAAATCTCTCGGTCAATTACATATGACTGTATTTACCTCCAGCAAGCTGTGTGATGATTTTCATCCTCTGTTGTGAGGCCAGTGTCCGACGTTTAGCCATGTCAGATTTCCTCTGCTTTCTCTTTGCACGGGCATCTAACAATTTCTAAATAAACAGACCGGTGTCTTGATGGAATTTGATTGTCAAATTATATAAAACAATGTATACAATTATCACATTTATTTCTTGAAAAACAAAACACAAATATTAGTGCACTTGAGCAAGGGCCGACACAGATACCTCTCCCCTCCCTTACCATCACTTCCCTCCTTTACCATCCATTCCCTCCCTTACCATCCATTCCCTCCCTTACCGTCAATTCTCTCCCTTACCATCCATTCCTTCCCTTACCGTCCATTCCCTCCCTTACCATCACTTCCCTCCTTTACCATCCATTCCCTCACTTACCATCCATTCCCTCCCTTATCATCCATTCCCTCCCTCCCTTACCGTCCATTCCCTCCCTTATCATCACTTCCCTCCTTTACCATCCATTCCTTCCCTTACCGTCCATTCCCTCCCTTACCATCACTTCCCTCCTTTACCATCCATTCCTTCCCTTACCAACGATTCCCTCCCTTACCATCCATTCCCTCCCTTACCGTCCATTCCCTCCCTTATCATCCATTCCCTCCCTTACCATCAATTCTCTCCCTTACCGTCCATTCCCTCCCTTATCATCCATTCCCTCCCTTATCATCCATTCCCTCCCTTATCATCAATTTCCTCTCTTACCTTCCATTCCCTCCCTTATCATCAATTTCCTCTCTTATCATCCATTTCCTCTCTTACCGTCCATTCCCTCCCTTACCGTCCATTCCCTCCCTTATCATCCATTCCCTCCCTTATCATCCATTCCCTCCCTTATCATCCATTTCCTCTCTTACCGTCCATTCCCTCCCTTATCATCAATTTCCTCTCTTATCCTCCATTCCCTCCCTTATCATCAATTTCCTCTCTTACCTTCCATTCCCTCCCTTATCATCAATTTCCTCTCTTATCATCCATTTCCTCTCTTACCGTCCATTCCCTCCCTTATCATCAATTTCCTCTCTTATCATCCATTCCCTCCCTTACCATCCATTTCCTCTCTTATCATCCATTTCCTCTCTTACCGTCCATTCCCTCCCTTATCATCAATTTCCTCTCTTATCATCCATTCCCTCCCTTACCATCCATTCCCTCCCTTACCATCATTTACCTCCCTTACCATCAATTCCCTTGATTACCTCCCTTACCAACGATTCCCTCCCTTACCATCCATTCCCTCCCTTACCAATGATTCCCTCCCTTACCATTGATTACCTCGATTACCTCCCTTACCAATGATTCCCTCCCTTACCATTGATTACCTCGATTACCTCCCTTACCAGTGGCTGTCAGCCTGATGTTACTTCCTACTGATATCTATTACCTGTCTCTTTGATCTCACTTCCTGTAACCAGCCATCAAAGTTCATCAGTCTTTTAATTTCCAACTTTTTATCTTCTTCAATTTCCTGTGGATATAAAAGCAGCACTCGATCTTAAAGTCCTCTTTGTTAAATACAGGATTAGATATTACTCTATATAACAGTCGAAAAAGAAATAAATTACAACAAATGAAAATTTTACACAAGAAGGTGAACTTCCTCAATCTTCCCCATCCAACTTGTGATACAAAATGGGACAAAATTTAGCATTTACATCATAAATGCAAAAGTAAATACAACTAATACCATATAATGGAGTAGATTTCTGGAAAGAGTCACAAAAAGTATATTTAACCATAGTATGTATACTGTGTAGTTGAAAATTAATTCAATTCCGCAGTTTGTAAAAAAACAACATTGACTTCCCAAAGAGGACCAAGCTTCAGCCTGGTTTAGGACTGTTTAAAAGTGAAGCAAGATGCTGGTTGTAACTTTGTATTTAATTAACTGGGATATGTTACGTTTTCTGTATCTGGTTATTTAAGTACCAACAAATGACTTATACAGAAAATCTATTGTAAATGAACCAGTAAATGCCTGATAATCTTTTGATACCAGTATGTTCACCAACCTTTTGACGTTTTGCTCTCTGAAGAGCCTGTGCTTTCATTCTTCCCTCTCGGGCATTCTTCAGCATCCTCTGACGTTTCTTGACAGACAACTGATCAGGGGTCAACTGGTCATCAGGAATGTCCAGAAGGTCATACACAGGAGCCTTGGCCTGCTGCTATAACAACAGTAGATTAATAATTTCACAATTAAGTCAATCCTTTTGTTTAAATTTGTCTCAAATATCAATGAAGTATGAAAGCTATCAACTCATTCTCTCAGCAGTTGTCACTAGGTTTCCTCTAGTGGTGAGGAAATACCCAGAATCTTGACCTTTACAATACCCTTACCTCTTCCTCTGGTGGTGGGTCTATACCCAGGATCTTCGCCTTAGCTCTCTGGATATTTCCAGTCAGTTTGTTGATTGCTGTCTGCAGTTCCTCTGCTGAATCAAACTCTGATCCTTGTAAGGCTCGCTATAGAATGAAAATGTAATGTTAATATGCTGTAACAAAACTTGTCAGCACTTCTCCTACTTCAAAATTACCACTCTGTCTTTCTTTTGAACTGAGCCAAGAATTCTTCAGACCAAATTCGGACAAAAATCCAGTCATTCTTTCAGTAGAAGGTTCATAAAGAATTTGCTATATTTCCCACATTAGGCCCTGCCCCTCCCATCCTGGGGCAGAGACCCACTTCGTATACAAAACTGTTTCTCCTTCATCCAATCATACTTCCGACCAATTTAGGACAGAATCCACACAATCCCACAGCAGAAGAATTTTAAAGAATTTGCCCCATTTTCCCATTGGACCTCACCTTCTTGCCCATGTTTGTTGAGACTCATCATTTATACGATAATGAAGAAGAAGGATTTTATAGAATTTACTCTATTATCCCTACTGGGCCCTGGCCAAGACCCACTGTTAAATGCTTCACCACAGAATATTTCACACCAAATTGTGATAATATTCCTACAAAAGAAGAAGGATTTCAATTAATTTGCACCATTTCCTCTATTGTGCTCTGCCCTTCTAGCCCAGCGGAGCCGAGACCTACCATTTTTACAAAACTGAGTACCCTTCCCCCAAAGATGCTTCTGACCAATTTTGGTCAAAATCCACTCAGTTGTTCATGACAAGTAGTTTTTTAAAGCATCTTAAACTAATCCCGGACACCACTGTGCAGCATAAGCCCACTTTGGTCCTTTGGACAAGGTGAGCTATTAAAACCATATCAATTAGCTACTTTCACAGAACTCTAATCATTTTCGCACATGATTCTTCTTTTACTTATAACTTTAACCTAAAAACAGTATTGACTTCAACAGAGACAACATGACATCAATTAAAAATTCACATAATTACATTGAATTCTTCATCGTCTTCATCTTCCAACAATTCCTGCAGACTCATCAACTCCTGCAATTGTTCCTCATCGTTCCTCAGCTGTAGAAAAAGAATGTCCAACAATGTTAGTGGGTGATAGGTGAAAAATCTTACAAAAATTTGACATTTATTTTTGATAAATACAATTTCATATGAAAACAGCCATGATCTCTGACTTTGAGAAATGAAATCGTTAATAAAAAGATCCATCCAGTAAAAGATGGCATCAACACTAACAAACTAATGTTTTCTCACCTTTTCTACACGTTTCTTAGCATTGACTTCTTTAAGCCTGCGTATCTGCTGGTCACGGCGTTCCTTCGCCTGTTTGGCAGAAACTGTCTGCTGATTTCCTGGAGCCTGAGAGAGAGACAGTACAGTACTGACATTAACAGTGTCCTTAGTATTTCATTGATAGAGTGTTTAGTGCCTTGATATTAATCCGTACAAGAAAAATAATAGCTCTACAGTCAAAAGGTCCATATTGAACACATTTAAAATGAAAATCCTCCTGTGGTATTTTGTGTGGAAAGGCGTACTTACACTGACAAATGGCAACTGTATTTTGTGTGGAAAGGCGTACTTACACTGACAAATGGCAACTGTATTTTGTGTGGAAAGGCGTACTTACACTGACAAATGGCAACTGTATTTTGTGGACATTATCATCGTAGTAGTCATTGGAGACCCAGTTGTCCAAATCTGTAGCATAGTCTGCAGCCATATAACAGTGATCTCTCACCAATTCCTGTTGAAAGAAAAGAAAGGGGGTTACAACAGACTGATTCTGTTAACACTGTTGGTATTTTATTCTATAGAATTATAAGAGGATTCTCCAATATAAAAAATCCACAACAACAAGAATAATTACCGTTATTGCTAGTGTACTCTACAAACTCAAATAAGTAAGTGAAAACAAAATGCAGTATAACAAAAAAGGCAATAGTTACTGCTACAAAATCGTACGGAGAAACAAAATCATTCAAGTGTGAAAACCTGTATCAATGGAACAGGTATTCTATGATGCATATTTGCTTGAATTTCATAAAAACCTAACTGACACTTGTTCAAAAGATTCTAAAGACTTTGAATTCACCAATCTTGTTACAACAAAGTAACAATGTTCTTTTATCAACTGAGCCCTAATATTGTGTAAAAAGTGATGATGGAAGGCAGTGATGTGACTGTTAAACCAACTGCTACCTGGCATAATGGAACTGAGGGTGTGGGTGAAGGGAGAGGGTCAACATACCTAACTTGATTAGTAAAAGGACATATTAACCGACATTCACGATTGGGACAAAATCTTAAGAGCAGTGATGTTGTATTTTATAATATAATAGTAACAAGGTAATATGCCAGTACACACAAGTTACGTCGACAGAACTTTCATACAACAGAAAAAGATGCAGGCCATCAAAATCACATAATTTGTCATCAATTGAATATGTTTGGGATGTTTATAGGCAACACGTGAGAGAAAAACCAGTCATCAAACTTGCAGGGTTACCTGCCATAATGTTGAATAGAACAATATATCTCCTGGTTTTGATTTTCATGCAGCAATGTTGCAAAGCTGTTTACCCTACGTACAGTCATCTTACCTGTTACTAATGGTGTTCCATTTAAAATTTACCCCAACATTCTTTAATGTTGAATAAAACCAGCTGACTGCAAAGTTTCGTAATTAATCAAGACAATATCTTTATCCATACATGACTGATAAGGATTTATAAATAGAACAGTTAATCTCATTATAAATTAGAGTTACCGAATTCACTGATAAAATTTGTCCAGAATACATGATTACCTCTGCCCTACTCAGCGTGACTGAAGCGTAGTGGCCAGGGTATTTAAGCTGCAGGAGACGTTGCATAAATCCATCCAGATGAGATCCTCCCAAATTGATGCGACGACAAGTGGCACTGTCCATGCGTCCCTCTAAGATAGGTAGGACGTGTGTCGCCTGGTAACCGCAGTCCACCACTAAAGCATCACCCCTGTCTGATTTAAATAAAACCAGGGCTATCATTGATATTCCCAACACAGGAAACTAGCTTTCAAACACCGTCCCGGTCTGATTATATGTAAATATAAGTAATTTAGACTGATTCTGGTACAGACTAAATATGACATCTACACTGTAAGCTACACGTGGTACATGGTAGAGAACAGAGTAGACATTTTACCTAATTTAGGCTGATTCTGGTACAAGCTAAACATGGCATCCACACCATAAGCTACACGTGGTACATGATAGCACTCAAACAGGAGTTCTGACATCTCTGAAACAACAAATATACAAAATAGCATTAATGAATTGTTTTCATACCAAGAATCATGAAGGAACAGATCTGCTTATAAACATGTTAAACTGTAAAGAATTTGCCTAAGGCTCACACTTTATCTCCAGTGATCTATAAATTATATATTATTAACATTTTCACCAATGCATAGAAATATAATGCTGATAATGCAATGAAAATAGACCTTTGCTGTGATTTTCACTGTATTCTACCAATGACACCAGCAGTTTGTTACTATGTTTTACATTAACAACAGTAGTTTGTTACTATGTTTTACATTGACAACAGCAGTTTGTTACTATGTTTTACATTGACAACAGTAGTTTGATACTATGTTTTACATTGACAACAGTAGTTTGATACTATGTTTTACATTGACAACAGTAGTTTGATACTATGTTTTACAATGACAACAACAGTTTGTTACTATAACTTACGTTGGCGACAGTAATTTGGGTTACACACAGGTTCAGTCATTAGGACAGGATGATCAACAACACTTTCTGTGTTAATGCCCATGTGGGTGAATATGTAGTCAAAGATCTGTTCCTGTTCAAATCAAAGTATACTTGTTACTACTGATTATTTCATTCGTCATTACAAATATTTAATAATCACTTCAGGACTCTCCTCTTACCACTCACACATCAACAAACAGGACTTTTCTCTTATCACTCACACATCAACAAACAGGACTTTTCTCTTACCAACTCACACATCAACAAACAGGACTTTTCTCTTATCAACTCACACATCAACAAACAGGACTTTTCTCTTATCACTCACACATCAACAAACAGGACTTTTCTCTTATCACTCACACATCAACAAACAGGACTTTTCTCTTATCACTCACACATCAACAAACAGGACTTTTCTCTTATCACTCACACATCAACAAACAGGACTTTTCTCTTATCAACTCACACATCAACAAACAGGACTTTTCTCTTATCACTCACACATCAACAAACAGGACTTTTCTCTTATCACTCACACATCAACAAACAGGACTTTTCTTCTATCACTCACACATCAACAAACAGGACTTTTCTCCTATCACTCTCACATCAACAAACAGGACTTTTCTCCTATCAACTCACACATCAACAAACAGGACTTTTCTCCTATCAACTCACACATCAACAAACAGGACTTTTCTCCTATCAACTCACACATCAACAAACAGGACATTCCTCTTATCACTCACACATCAACAAACTGGACTTTTCTCTTATCACTCACACATCAACAAACAGGACTTTTCTCTTATCACTCACACATCAACAAACAGGACTTTTCTCTTATCACTCACACATCAACAAACAGGACTTTTCTCTTATCACTCACACATCAACAAACAGGACTTTTATCCTATCAACTCACACATCAACAAACAGGACTTTTCTCTTATCACTCACACATCAACAAACAGGACTTTTCTCTTATCACTCACACATCAACAAACAGGACTTTTCTCTTATCACTCACACATCAACAAACAGGACTTTTCTCTTATCACTCACACATCAACAAACAGGACTTTTCTCTTATCACTCACACATCAACAAACAGGACTTTTCTCTTATCACTCACACATCAACAAACAGGACTTTTCTCCTATCACTCACACATCAACAAACAGGACTTTTCTCCTATCAACTCACACATCAACAAACAGGACTTTTCTCCTATCAACTCACACATCAACAAACAGGACTTTTCTCTTATCACTCACACATCAACAAACAGGACTTTTCTCTTATCACTCACACATCAACAAACAGGACTTTTCTCTTATCACTCACACATCAACAAACAGGACTTTTCTCTTATCACTCACACATCAACAAACAGGACTTTTCTCTTATCACTCACACATCAACAAACAGGACTTTTCTCCTATCAATTCACACATCAACAAACAGGACTTTTCTCTTATCACTCACACATCAACAAACAGGACTTTTCTCCTATCAACTCACACATCAACAAACAGGACTTTTCTCTTATCACTCACACATCAACAAACAGGACATTTCTCCTATCAATTCACACATCAACAAACAGGACTTTTCTCCTATCAACTCACACATCAACAAACAGGACTTTTCTCCTATCAACTCACACATCAACAAACAGGACATTCCTCTTATCACTCACACATCAACAAACAGGACTTTTCTCTTATCACTCACACATCAACAAACAGGACTTTTCTCTCATCAACTCACACATCAACAATCACACATGATTTATTATTAAAGAAAGTATCATGGTGTGGTTTTATGCCAATTTATTCTATGGTAGGGGAGCTAACTCTATATTCCTTTACCTGGACATCATAGAGAGTCACCAAATTCCTGTCAAATTGTGTGCGGAGAATCCATCGAACAACTTCAATATTGTTAATCTCATTCCCAACCTGTAGATCAGACTCCTAAAAACATAGACAGAATCATTAAAAACAAACTATAACCTGGGATATCTTAGATCTGATCTGTTGTTAGATTCATCATTATGTACATTTTAAATGGTAAATATTGATACAAAACAAATGGAAATCATCACATGAAAAGAAAGTTGGAAATTGAAGCTGATGATACCTTTTTGCCTCTTTGTTTGGCTGTGATGTTTTTGAAGATTAATTGTGGTTGGTGTTTTTTTGTTGTTGCCCAGCCTGCTCGACACTGGTAAGACCCTTAAATAGAAACAGAAGGTAGAATTTGTCCTCTCCATTTCTGGACATGTTTCAGACTGTTACAGTTATGATAAGGCATTATTAGATCCTATAGCCTCTTCTAAGACTAACATGATCAAACATTCACCGCTACAGACGGTTCCATCCCTATGAGGGGGATGCAGGTCGCCCTCTCACGTCAATTGACGTTTATTGGTGAGACAATACCCGGCAACGGGAGGAGTCAAAGAGACAGAAAACCAACCAACCAATCAACCAGTATAGAATTCATGTTTCCCAAACTGAGAGACAGCAAGTATGTACATATTTACTTTTAGAGTAATTGATGCCCAGTAGTTGTATTTACCATTTTACAGGTGAAGACTATACACAAATTAAAAGGTATGTATTTACTCTATTGATTAAGAAATTGATACCAAATTTTTTTCATGAAGTAAAATTTAATATACACTGTAGATTATTTTTAACTAAAATCACAAGGATTTCAATATTCTACATATAATGTGACAAATTATTTACAAAGAATTAACTAAAATATTTATTCAGATAAATAAATACCTTAAGTAAGTGCAATTGTGTTTTGCCAGTGGTACAACTCTGTCATAAAGGATCGTGGAATAGATAAATCCTTACCATTGTCTATGACCAGTGGTATACAGCTAAGGTTGTGGAATAGATAAACCCTTACCATTGTCTATGACCAGTGGTATATAGCTAAGGTTGTGGAATAGATAAACCCTTACCATTGTCTATGACCAGTGGTATATAGCTAAGAACATGGAATAGATAAACCCTTACCATTGTCTATGATCAGTGGTATACAGCTAAGGTTGTGGAATAGATAAACCCTTACCATTGTCTATGACCAGTGGTATACAGCTAAGGTTGTGGAATAGATAAACCCTTACCATTGTCTATGACCAGTGGTATATAGCTAAGGTTGTGGAATAGATAAACCCTTACCATTGTCTATGACCAGTGGTATATAGCTAAGGTTGTGGAATAGATAAACCCTTACCATTGTCTATGACCAGTGGTATACAGCTAAGGTTGTGGAATAGATAAACCCTTACCATTGTCTATGACCAGTGGTATATAGCTAAGGTTGTGGAATAGATAAACCCTTACCATTGTCTATGACCAGTGGTATATAGCTAAGAACATGGAATAGATAAACCCTTACCATTGTCTATGACCAGTGGTATACAGCTAAGGTTGTGGAATAGATAAACCCTTACCATTGTCTATGACCAGTGGTATACAGCTATGGTTGTGGAATAGAAAAACCCTTACCATTGTCTATGACCAGTGGTATATAGCTAAGGTTGTGGAATAGATAAACCCTTACCATTGTCTATGACCAGTGGTATATAGCTAAGAACATGGAATAGATAAACCCTTACCATTGTCTATGACCAGTGGTATATAGCTAAGAACATGGAATAGATAAACCCTTACCATTGTCTATGACCAGTGGTATACAGCTAAGGTTGTGGAATAGAAAAACCCTTACCATTGTCTATGACCAGTGGTATATAGCTAAGAACATGGAATAGATAAATCCTTACCACTGTCTATGACCAGTGGTATACAGCTAAGAACATGGAATAGATAAACCCTTACCATTGTCTATGACCAGTGGTATACAGCTAAGGTTGTGGAATAGATAAACCCTTACCATTGTCTATGACAAGTGGTATATAGCTAAAGTTGAGGAATAGATAAACCCTTACCATTGTCTATAACCAGTGGTACACTGCTGTCAAATAATGTGGTGGAATAATCAAACACAGGATCAGGACTGCATCTTTCATCTTTGAAAGAGAAAATATTATTTGATCCTTTTCCCTGAGCCATATTCTGCAAAATACAAAGACATGGTAAATTAAACATGAACATTTTTTTTAAATCAGAGGCCAATTAACCTGTGTGAAGGGTGAGTTTTCCAAAAATTAAAAAAAAAGATAACTTGAATAAATGGAAAGACAACTACAGACCAAGGGGGAAACTACATATGAACTTTGAGAAAGACCTATCCAGTGCTTCTAAAGAAAAGTGTTCTAAAATCAAGAGGGGAGAATTAGGGACCAAAGGGCACACGTACATATACATGAAGTTTGAAAATTCAACCAGTACTTTTCAAAAAATATTGATAACAAGTATTGTTTAAAAATGGAAGGACAATGAACTGATAGATGAATGGACCAAGGATGTAGGGCAATTTGAAAAGCCCACCATCTTATGATGTTGCCCCTATTAGGCCAAATCCCTTGCGCATGAAGGGCCAAGACCTGCAATTGATACAAAATCAAGTCCCTTTCACCAAGGGATGTTTCAGTTGAATTGAGAGAGAATCCTCGTGTTGCCACAGAGGAAATAGGATTTTAAAGAATTTGATTTATTTTACCACTGAAACAAAATTGAGTTCCCTTCACCTAAGAATTTTTCAGACAAAATTTTGACAAATACCTATTATTCCTACAGAAGAATGAGGATTTTAAAGATTTTTGGGGCAAGTTCAGACCTAAAAAGGAAAAAAGCTCTTTGTGAGAATGCCTGGGGATGTATTCTACAATAATCCAGATGCAGGATGCATACTGTTGTTATGACTTGTGGAAATCTATTATTTGTGATATAATTCTTGGAAAGAAATAATATACTTTTGACTTTCAGTTCTACAATAACCCATTTGCTAAGATAAAGATGTGGGAGTCAAGTCTAACCAATCTCTGGTTTTAGGCAGATTCCTTCATTTATAGCAGCAATGTTGTAGGAGATTTTGAACATCAGACTTAGTGGTGTGTTTTTACATCTTTCTGATAGGCTTAACCAGAATAGAGCTAAATTTTCCGAGCAACATGTGAATTATTATGGTATTTGTTAGCGACGAAACAGATCACTCTTTGTTTCATCATGTATCTATTTATGAATGTCACCTTCTTGGTAAGTGTCTGCCACAGAACAAGAATATTTCAAAGAAAGACACAATACTGATTTGACTTTCAGGTTTTTTCTTTTGTCATTTTTAAATCATTGCAAAATATAAGCAAAATGAAGCTATAACCCCTCCCATGTGCTGCTTATGTCGGCAATATTTATATCTTGTTATATGGTTAAACCCAGGAATTTAGCAAAGTGCAAAACTGTGTTGGTAATAATTAAAATTTCTGTTTTTTTTAACTTTCAGCACATAAAGAACCTTACATTTTTGGAAGTAAAATGCAAATTTCCATAGTTACCCCATTCTACATGCCGTCCTTAAATGACTACAAGTGTTGATAGGACTTTTAAACAACATACAACTAAAATTGTAGACTAGATAGTATTTGTAAAGAGAAATTTGACGTTTAGTGAATAAGCGTTTGCAACACAAAGTGGTCGGAAACTTTCATGAAAAACATCTCTCTTTAGTATAGGCACTGACTATGTCAATACACTCATTAGATGATATATAATATCATAGCCAAGCTGCGAATCTAAGACAGATACTGTAAGCATACAGGATCGACAGTCGGAGCTTAGGCCTACCTCGTAACTGTATATAATTAGGACACGGAATCAATGCTACCGGCATGGTGGTAGGTTTGTATTTTTTAACGAACTTCTGCATGTGTATGACCAACACATCGTTCCATCAATATTTCTTCTATAACCGACTGATATACTTCGATACTTACGTAGAAAAATTTAGAAATATCAAATGGCGAGGAAATTGTCTAAGAAGTACACATTGTTTTTCCCCCGACTCATATACTATTATTACCTCTTCTGAGGAGAGTTCTCAAAATCTAAATGACAAGCCGGCAGTTCCGGACAGATGAACAAATATGACTGTAGGAAGTGGCTAAACTTGTCATAAAGAACAGATGGACCTCATCTTTGTTTTTTTCGCAAATAAAATATTTCATAAAATACTTAGATAGATATAATAGAAATCATTGGCATGCTGTGTTATGTGAACAACTCTACTGTGACGTGATGAATACGTCTTCATGACGTCATATAATTTACTCAGAAGTGAAAAACTTACAGTTTGCACGAAATAAGTCTATCTTGTACAGTGGTGGAAGTAATTTCGCTCATTTTTTTTTTTTTTTTTAGAAATACCAGTTATGTTATAAATAGGACACTTTGCGCAATCACATACACACATATCCATCCAAACTTGGAGAAGGGTATTGTGTTGTACTGGATGAATGGACACTGCATGTATCATATCCAGGCTGCCTGTCCTTTCTAGGTTTTACAACTCCTTCTTGCACATACCCCGAAGATAACCACAATCTAGGGTTCTTTTTATCCCAGAAAGCTTCTCATTTAGCTCCAAACATTTGAGTGGTCGATGGCACAACATAATTATGTACAGGAAAGAGTAAAAAATGTCTGTCGCTCACAAAGCATATGCTGGAAACGCCATGTAAAGTCATCAACCAAAGCGTCAAACAGGTCCGTCTCGGACGAATTGACATGGAAGTGAAGCGAAAGTAGTGCATTTCCTAATTCTGGCTCCCCAGCTCTCAAAACCACCACAGACCATAGTGGACGTCGCTTAGTTTTGGAACAAGGACACGACACTACAGAACTGGGCTAACTGAATGTGTTACTGGACTGTGCGGCTGAAGTTCCCTCATCCATGAACCATCAAAGCGTAATAGACACAGATACCTGTGCCTTGTTTTATCAGAAATATTTCTTTATACAGTTAAATTTTCATAAAACTCTGCGATTTAAGGTAAGGATTACCATCAACACGGGGACAAATTCATGTAAGGGAACACGTTAATCTCCATACATATCAGAGGTCGTATACTCCCGATGTTACAGTGGCAGTGAAATAAATGTCAGCCATAGGCAGGAAATGTGAATAACTCTAAATCTACCACAGGTAAGATATCATGCCCTAAATCTCTACCTAAGGTCCACGGTCAAGTGTCATACCTTTAATCTACCCAAATCTCACTAAAAGTACAACCAAAGTCAAATCCAACATCCCAAATTTAGCCAAGATCAAATATCACCTCCAAAACCAATATCCAGAGTCAAGTTCCACACCCTAAATCTCTCCAATGTCAAATATGGCACCCTGAATCTATCCAGTGTCAAATCTGGCACCCTGAATCTTTCCAATGTCAATTTCTTTCACTTTTGTCAGAGCGAGATAAAATATCTTAACCAAAGTGTAGTCAAGGTCATTTTTTGTCCAAAAGGACACATATCAATTGGTTGTCCTTTTTCATGGTCTCGAGGCATCGCTAACAGTACTATGTTGCAATACCTGGCTTGTAAGAGTTTTCAAGACATAGGGGAACATCGGTCTCTGCGGCGTCCTTGACACTAAACATGTTGCTCATAATGTAGTTCATGAGGTCATGATGGTTACAATATTTGACATCAACTATTACGTAACGTCAATTGACAGCACGACACAGAGTATTGAGCTTATGGTATGGTCAAATGTAATACCATTACGTCTGGAGACATGGACAGATTCTGTGATTTTTGTAAGGAACCATGTGGAAGATGAGGTTACCAGGTAGTTGTCTGGTGCCAGATATACGATGACATAAAGAACAGTCTTTTTAATAGTGTCATACATAAGAAACAACGAGAAGTTCACTTGGTTTAATTCATCAATCAATGAAGAATATCACACGGAAATTGTGTAATTCAAACAACGAGCTTTGTTGTTGAACCGATCGTTTTATAGTAAAATGTTCTAGTCCGACAGTTTTGTTTCATATAAATATTACTATAACCCCTTTTAGAGTTGTGATATTTGTCATTTTATGGTGTTAGAATTATTGTACATGTGTGTGGATGTAAAGCATGAGACTGATAAATACTTCTGTATCTGTATGTATATCTGTCACCCGAATCTGTACACAATCCTGTTCTGATTACACAGTCTTACGCGACAGTCGGCTGGGGAATACGTCAGGTAAGATAGCAATCTAAACATTTCAGAAAACAGAACTCCCCTCTTCTAAGAGACAAATATTTTCACTTCAATAACATTTTGAAGAAATTTTTACGCAGACCTCATTTATGGTACAGTGCGAATAAATGATAAGTCGCGCTAACAACTGTTAGCTATTTCAGGCCGTAGTTCGTCAATACTGGGACTAGGAATGGAAGCCGTTTCTGGTAAGTAATTATTTATCTTAACCCTTTGAATTAGATTGTTTGCTGGTTAATTAAAGCCAATATAGAAGAGGGTTGAACTATGCGCTACAACGTTTTTTTTTTTTTTTTTGCTATCAAAACTACGTTTACTCGGTCCCGGTAAAAGGTTAAAATCAGTGGGACATGTCCAGTCTTTGTAAGTCAATGATCGACCGTTTTACCGTAGTGATGCAAATCTAACACCTCGATGTATTTAGCGTCATATATACTTGTATCTTTCGTTACCTATGTGCAGTTAATTTACTTCAGTCTAGCTCAACGATCTATAAGTTTAACTTATATATAAAGATTTATTAATTTAATAAAGCCTCGCGCATCGATCTATAAGTTTAACTTCTATATATAAAAAAGTTTGATTAATGAATTCATGTGAGGCACTTTATATAGAAACTGTGAATAGTTAAGTTAGAAGCCACGTGACTCCCGTCTGGTCTGTCTGTGGACTCATGTGAGGCATTTCATACATAAACTGGCTGCATTCTATTGACGTGAACAAATCCCATAGGAATAACACCAGAAAACTACCTCACAGAAGTCTCCGTCTTATCTGTGTAACCGATAGACACAGCTAACAATTAACTAACAAGGTGCAAAACAGAGTTCTTGAAAACTATGTTCCCTCTGCCAAAAGTTGGAGCAGAGGCACTACTTATGCTGAAGCACTGCACACTTGTCCTCAATTTATGAGAGACACAACATACTTCAATATTTAAATCAAGTTAACTGATATCAGCGAGACTGACTGTACTTATATCAAACGTTGTCTATACCCATGTAGGCAGTAAATGTCCATGTAAATTTAGGAAAGGGCACAGTAAGTTTGTAATAATATGAAGACCAAAATTGTTTAGATTCATATTGTTTGATTTGTATTCAAGTAAAGAACACACGCCAGTCTGTAATTATCGGGATAAACGATATATTTATTCACGGGGTTTGAATTTGCACTTGTGAAGTTTGATATAATCTATATTATTTTTTTTATATGTATGCATGTATGTTTCAATATCCTTGACCAGTGCGATAAACTTGTGTATTTTACATTTTCTGTTATCTCCGTAAGTCTATCAATACACTGAGGCATTTAAGGTCACAGATGAAGTCAGACGGGATTTTGAACAACATGGTTACATAGTTCTCAAGTAAGCGATTATACTGTTGATGTGGATGATGATGATGATGATGATGATGATGATGATGATGATGATGATGATAATGCTGGCTTTTGTATGTTATGATGTGGATGATGAAGATGTTGAAGATGATTAGGATGTTATTGTGTATGATGACCATGATATTAATGGTGATCACGGTATATGATGATGTGAATGGTGAGAATGATTATCATGAATGACGACGACGACGACGACGACGACGATGATGATGATGTCAAAGATTGCTGAGTGTATGATTACAAATAATCTTGATTTGTAAGACATGCAATGACCAAATACATATGTGTACCAGTGTGTTGAGGTGTGAGAATGTGTATGAGGGCGTGTGTGAGGGTTTGTGTGAGGGTGTGTGTGAGGGTGTGTGTGTGTGCGTGTGAGGGTGTGTGTGAGTGTGTGTGTGAGGGCGAGTGTGAGGGTGTGTGTGAGGGTTTGTGTGAGGGTGCGTGTGAGGGTGTGTAAGGGTGTGTGTGAGTGTGTGTGAGGGCGCTTGTGAGGGCGTGTGTGAGTGTGTGTGAGGGTGTGTGAGTGTGTGTGTGAGGGCGCGTGTGAGGTTGTGTGTGAGGTGCGTGTGAGGGTGTGTGAGGGTGTGTGAGAGTGTGTGAGTGTGTGTGTGAGGGTGTGTGTGAGGGTGTGTGTGAGGGTGCGTGTGAGGGTGCGTGAGGGTGTGTGTGAGGGTGTGTGTGTGTGTGTGTGTGAGGGTGTGTGTGAGGGTGAGTGTGTGTGTGAGGTTGCGTGTGAGGGTGTGTGTGAGGGTGCGTGAGGGTGTGTGTGTGTGTGTGTGTGAGGGTGTGTGTGAGGGTGTGTGTGAGGGTGCGTGTGGCTGAGGGAGTGTTGTGTGTGGTGTGTGTGAGGGTGTGTGTGAGGGTGTGTGTGAGGTGTGTGTGATGTGTATGTGTAAGGTTTGTGTGAGGTAAGCGTGTGAGGTGTGTGTGTGAGGTTTGTGTGAGATGTGTGTGAGGGTGTGTGTGAGGTGTATAAGAGCATGTGTGTGGGAGGGTGTTTAATTTGTGTGTGTGGTGTGTGTGAGGGTGTGTGAGGGTGTGTGTGAGGTGGGTGTGTGTGAGGGTGTGTGTGAGGTGTGTGTGAGGGTGTGTGTGAGGTGTGTGTGTGAGGGTGAGTGTGTGTGTGAGGTTGCGTGTGAGGGTGTGTGTGAGGGTGCGTGAGGGTGTGTGTGTGTGTGTGTGAGGGTGTGTGTGAGGGTGTGTGTGAGGGTGCGTGTGAGGGTGTGTGTGAGGTGCGTGTGAGGGTGTGTGAGGGTGCGTGTGAGGGTGTGTGTGAGGGTGTGTGTGAGTGTGTGTGTGTGTGTGAGGGGCGTGTGTGTGTGTGTGTGTGTGTGTGTGTGTGTGTGTGTGTGTGTGTGTGTGTGTGAGGGTGTGTGTGAGGGTGCGTGTGAGGGTGTGTGTGAGGTGCGTGTGAGGGTGTGTGAGGGTGCGTGTGAGGGTGTGTGTGAGGGTATGTGAGGGCGTGTGTGAGGGTGTGTGTGAGTGTGTGTGTGTGTGAGGGCGCGTGTGAGGGTGTGTGAGGGTGTGTGAGAGTGTGTGTGAGTGTGTGTGAGGGTGCGTGTGAGGGTGTGTGTGAGGTGCGTGTGAGGGTGTGTGAAAGTGCGTGTGAAGGTGTGTGTGAGGGTATGTGAGGGCGTGTGTGAGGGCGTGTGTGTGTGTGTGTGTGAGGGCGCGTGTGAGGGTGTATGTGTGTGTGTATATCATATCTACCGTGTAAAATCCTAAAAATTATAAAAAAAAAAACTAATAAAATGAAATGTCAACCTGCGGAAGGTCTTTCAAGTATCCCTAAATCGACAATTGATTGTGTCAGGAATGTATATTTGTGTGATTTTTTATCATATATTTACACTTTTTACATGTGAGCGATGTTCGAGTGATATACATCGTCTCTTCTGTCTAGAGGTCTACTGGATAAGGAGGAAGTAGCAATCGTAGAAATGGCTATTGGTGGATCTGACGCCATCACCAAACACAAGTTTGGGGTAAGACAGCTTAACAGTGTCAATAAAACGATAAAATCAAATCATTTGGTCGAAATAAATAAAACCATTCTTCCTTGAGTAAAGTGCGATGAGCAATTACCACTTGACTGTGAGTATAGTACAAGTACAACGGAATGTATCTATAAATTCGGGAGATATATTACGATACGTATTAATCAGCCATCTTAATTCCTGGCCAGATGTCCAGATATACATTTAAAAGCTCTTAGATTTACTTGCTTTTGTTTGGTAGGATGTTGTCGACGGCGGAAGGAAGACTGATACAGTGTTGTGGAAACACCCCGGAAATGACGTCACTGGAATGGTCGTTCGGAGTGAGAAAGTTGCAGGCATCAGTGAACAGGTAAAAAAATCGCAAAAAGCTGTAATTCGTGTCAAAAACAAAAAATTGTTAGGTTTTACAGTGTTCTTACTGGCCTAGAGGCTTAATCAAAGTGAAATGCTAAGTAGGTATTGGTATGTCCTCTGGACGATTTCATTACAGTAATCTGTAAAACAATTAGAACCCCTAAACGAACCTTTCCGTACCTTTATAATATTATGTTGGAAATATCTAAAACATGTATCAATGTAAAGCTGCTTGGAGGAGAAGTTTACCACTACCATACCAAATTGATGCTGAAAGAAGGAGGCAGGGGAGCTAAGCATGTCTGGCATCAGGATTACTCGTAAGTCGATTAACATCTCTGTATGTTGTATCAGTGACTCTCTACCGTTATAACCTTATTGTAACATCTCTGTATGTTGTATCAGTGACTCTCTACCGTTATAACCTTATTGTAACATCTCTGTATGTTGTATCAGTGACTCTCTACCGTTATAACCTTATTGTAACATCTCTGTATGTTGTATCAGTGATTCTCTACCGTTATAACCTTATTGTAACATCTCTGTAGTTTGTATCAGTGATTCACTACCTTAATTACCCTGTTGTAGCATCTCTGTATCTTTTTTACCGAAAGAGCCATACCCCTTATGCTACACTACGCGGTATTATTGTATCTTCACGGAGTCTTCCACTAATTTACCTGTAATGATATTTGTCCACTGGTTATTAGATATACGCCGTTGTCCGTCACTCTGGATATTACTATCGAGGTAACGTATCCTTTACTTTATCAGGTACTGGTACTGGAACGGTTGTCTGTTCCCTGAAATGCTGACTGTTTTTATCCCGTTAGACGACTGTAGGAAAGACAACAGCTGTCTCCAGGTACATGTATATTGTAAAACGTACGTTACAAACACAAATAAACCGAATATAACTGAACTTGTTAAATGCAAGTTTTGAGAGATTTCTACAAAACAATAAGAAATACCGTTAAGTTTTTAATGTCTAAATTTTAGCTCGGTGAAACTAGGTCAAAAATCCATGAAAAAAGTTGGGAGAGTGTTGGGAGAGCCTGTATTCATGAAACCGAACTATTGCTCAAAAACACATTTATAGACATATGATAATAACTCTGATATCTGAACTATTATTTTTCATAGCATTGAAGGAATTTCGAAAAAAAAGTACAGGTGAGATGTTATTTTCAATGTTAAGGTTTTATTTTTTAAAACTACTGTATGATTTAAACAAGTTTAAAGAAGGTTGGGTCACGTGTTTAATGCTTGATCATGAAAATGTTTTTATCAATACGACGGCATCTGTTATGTAAATCTCGGAGAATCCAGGAAAGTAATGTCACAATCTCAGATGAGAACCAGTGGTGTAACAGCGAAACTAAGGTATAACATCTCTGTATATAACAGTTATCCAATTCAATGTAGGTTCTGCGAGGCTCACATAAATGTGGCAGAATATTCCATAAAACAGCGGGAGAACAGAACGCATGTGACGCGGAGAGGATTGAGGAGCTAAAGGCCGTTTGTCCTCACGATTTCATGGAGATTGATGCCGGTATGTAAAGCATCATTAAAATACAAAGTGTGCATTAGATGGGAGATAGGTTTTTTTTACGATTTTAAACAAATATGGTATACTGTTGTGATATAATATATTTTTGTGAAAGTTTTCGTGGATCTCTTAATACACTATTTACACTCTTCTCAAGTTTTCTGTATTGCTTCATGGATAAAAACAATATCAACATATCATCATCATCATAATCCAAACTCAAATCAATAAAATTAAAGCAAAATATAAACAAAAGACTCTTGGAAAAATACAAGGAGAATAAGACCAGATGTTCCGGAATAATAAGCGTCTCCTGCTTCACCGCCCACAACCGCCATGTAAACCTTTGTCAATCCAAGAAAGCAATGTCACGTTCTAAAATGGAAACAAAGCATACAGAATCGCAATCCACAGGCAAACTAACGAGCGTCAAGCACGTCCACCTTCATATCACACAAAGAAATAGACCACTATGACAACCATAAAACTTCCCCATAATTTTCATCAACCTGCATCTTTTGAACCCCTGTATTACGAGTTTGTACGCCAGTTGACGAGTTCATGCACGAAAATCGTGAAAATAGGAATAAATCATAAAATTATATTTAGGATATTATGTATCAGTTTGACTAAGTTTTAAGGAAATGTTCTGTTTTTCACTATCAAAGGAGATGCTATCTTCTTCCACTGTAACTTGATCCACTGTAGCAGTCAAAACAACAGTGATAGGAGGAGGTGGGCTTTCCTGACGGCCTACAACAGGGCTTCTAACAACCCTACCAAAGTACACCATCACCCTCAATACACCCCTCTCCACAAGGTGAGTGGATTCTAAGTGTCACCAACAACCCTACCAAAGTACACCATCACCCTCAATACACCCCTCTCCACAAGGTGAGTGGATTCTAAATCCGTGTCACCAACAACCCTACCAAAGTACACCATCACCCTCAATACACCCCTCTCCACAAGGTGAGTGGATTCTAAATCCGTGTCACCAACAACCCTACCAAAGTACACCATCACCCTCACACCCCTCTCCACAAGGTGAGTGGATTCTAACTCCGTGTCACCAACAACCCTACCAAAGTACACCATCACCCTCACACCCCTCTCCACAAGGTGAGTGGATTCTAAATCTGAGTCACCAACAACCCTACCAAAGTACACCATCACCCTCAATACACCCCTCTCCACAAGGTGAGTGGATTCTAAATCTGAGTCACCAACAACCCTACCAAAGTACACAAGCACCCTCAAACCCCTCTCCACAAGGTGAGTGGATTCTAACTCCGTGTCACTAACAACCCTACCAAAGTACACAATCACCCTCAATACACCCCTCTCCACAAGGTGAGTGGATTCTAACTCCGTGTCACCAACAACCCTACCAAAGTACACCATCACCCTCAATACACCCCTCTCCACAAGGTGAGTGGATTCTAACTCCGTGTCACTAACAACACTACCAAAGTACACCATCACCCTCACACCCCTCTCCACAAGGTGAGTGGATTCTTAATCTGTGTCACCAACAACCCTACCAAAGTACACCATCACCCTCACACCCCTCTCCACAAGGTGAGTGGATTCTAACTCCGTGTCACTAACAACCCTACCAAAGTACACCATCACCCTCACACCCCTCTCCACAAGGTGAGTGGATTCTAACTCCGTGTCACTAACAACCCTACCAAAGTACACCATCACCCTCAATACACCCTTCACCACAAGGTGAGTGGATTCTAACTCCGTGTCACTAACAACCCTACCAAAGTACACCATCACCCTCAATACACCCTTCACCACAAGGTGAGTGGATTCTAACTCCGTGTCACTAACAACCCTACCAAAGTGCACCATCACCCTCAATACACCACAAGGTGAGTGGATTCTAAACATTGTAACTAATGATCATAAACATACAGAAACTGCCTTTAGTTTAGTTGTTTATACATATCTTGGCACAAAATTTAAGCGATATTACTTTTTACATATTTCGTGAATATGAAATCTGACGTTTCCACTTACAAGCATGCATCAGCCTTGTAAAGTCATTTGATTATCAGTTTTTGGTTTTAAATTAGGGGTTAAACTTTTAATGTGTATAATTGGTTTTTGACTGCGTTACAGGTGCCGAATGTAGCCATCAAGGAGTGTAAGAACTTCACTGACGTCAGTGGCAAGGCGTTTGTAGACCCTACTGTAGACACAACATACAAATCGTTTTTCAAGGACGGCAACAGCGCCCGCTGATATATTTGATAACAAAAAGGGATATCAAAAGAACGGAATAGATAACGATATTACATCTTTTATGACAATCATGGACGTATTACAATATAGGAAAACCACAAGTTTGTTTACCATATCTATAAGTAATAATTTCATACCGATATATTTGATCGGTAAAGGGCGTTTTCAAAATATGGAAATATAGAATAAAGAGAGTGAGCTTTAAGATTGAAGGTTACGTTAATACTATTTCTATTTGAAAATAAAGACTGTGAAAATATAAAAAAAAGGTTGTTATTGTCACTATCGATTTTAATGAATATAAGATAATTATTTCCAATACTCGAATACAAATATCAAATTCAATATTAAGATATTGTCCAGATAGTGTTCCTGTACTATTGCAGATACAAATACAACTACCGTTTGTGTAAGGGCATTTATACAGAAGGTCAATTTTCAGTTGCTGACTAGACAAAATTCATGCTGTAGCTTGAAGGGAAAAAATTGATGCAGAAAACAAGAAAATACCAACATGTCAACATAGTAATAATTCAGACTCAAAGTCACAATAGTCTTTTGAAATTTTGTAGATGTAAATTTTGCCGCAAAAAATTTGAGCGCAATTTCAGTTTTTGATAAATAAGCACATTCGCTGTAATTGCTATTTTAACGATTACAGAAACTGCAATTACCTCAGTCTTATTTTAGCGCATTATCTTCAGCAAGTCAAGACACAGTCAAAAGTCAACAAAGAAGCGGAACTTCAAATATCCTATCATTTATGTAATACTATGATTTATTGTGGAAAAGTGAGAGTACCTGTCATTATCATCATCAGTAGGAAGTGAAGCAAACCGGAGTTCTCTTGTAGTTTTAATTCCCTTCAATTATCATTAGAACCTAATCTTTGTACGATATTGTCCGACCTATTCACTGAATTGTAGTCCCCCTATTTTCTCATCAAAACTCAAGCTTTGTACGATATTATCAGGCCATCTAATTGTAGTTCCCAATCTTACCTTTTAGAACCCTAACTTTCTACGTTATTGTCCGACCTTTTCACCCAGTTGAAGTCCCCTACATTTCTGTCACTCGAACAATGTACCGTCAACAAGGTATCTTTAAAAACAAATTTGTAGCTTGTTATCGACGACATATACTAAACATTCACCTAGATGTGTACATGATATTATCCTTAATCTTCATCTAGTTGTGTACACGATATTACCCTTCACCTTCACCTAGTTGTGTACACGATATTATCCTTCACCTTCACCTAGTTATGTACACGATATTATCCTTCACCTTCACTTAGTTGTGTACACGATATTATCCTTCACCTTCAGCTAGTTGTGTACACGATATTATTCTTCACCTTCACCTAGTGTACACGATATTATCCTTCACCTTCGCCTAGTTGTGTACATGATATTATCCTTCACCTAGTTGTGTACACGATATAATCCTTTACCTTCAGCTCGTTGTGTACATGATATTATCCTTCACCTTCAGCTAGTTGTGTACACGATATAATCCTTTACCTTCAGCTAGTTGTGTACACGATATTATCCTTCACCTTCAGCTAGTTGTGTACACGATTTTATCCTTAATCTTCATCTAGTTGTGTACACGATATTATTCTTCACCTTCACCTAGTTGTGTGCACGATATTATCCTTCACCTTCAGCTAGTTCTGTACACGATATTATCCTTCACCTTCACCTAGTGTACACGATATTATCATTCACCTTCACCTAGTTGTGTACATGATATTATCCTTCACCTAGTTGTGTACACGATATTATCCTTTACTTTCAGCTAGTTGTGTACACGATATTATCCTTAATCTTCACCTAGTTGTGTACACGATATTATCCTTCACCTTCACCTAGTTGTGTACACGATATTATCCTTTACTTTCAGCTAGTTGTGTACACGATATTATCATTCACCTTCACTTAGTTGTGTACGCGATATTATCCTCCACCTAGTTGTGTACACGATACTATCCTTCACCTAGTTGTGTACACGATATTATCCTTCACCTAGTTGTGTACACGATATTATCCTTCACCTAGTTGTGTACACGATATCATCCTTCACCTAGTTGTGTACATGATATTATCCTTCACCTAGTTGTGTACACGATATTATCCTTCACCTAGTTGTGTACACGATATTATCCTTCACCTTCACCTAGTTGTGTACACGATATTATCCTTAATCTTCACCTAGTTGTGTACACGATATTATCCTTCACCTTCACCTAGTTGTGTACACGATATTATCCTTCACCTTCACCTAGTTGTGTACACGATATTATCCTTTACATTCACCTAGTTTTGTACACGATATTATCATTCACCTTCACTTAGTTGTGTACGCGATATTATCCTCCACCTAGTTGTGTACACGATACTATCCTTCACCTAGTTGTGTACACGATATTATCCTTCACCTAGTTGTGTACACGATATTATCCTTCACCTAGTTGTGTACACGATATCATCCTTCACCTAGTTGTGTACACGATATTATCCTTCACCTAGTTGTGTACACGATATTATCCTTCACCTAGTTGTGTACACGATATTATCCTTCACCTTCACCTAGTTGTGTACACGATATTATCCTTAATCTTCACCTAGTTGTGTACACGATATTATTCTTCACCTAGTTGTGTACACGATATTATCCGTCACCTTCACCTAGTGTTGTACACAATATTATCCTTAATCTTCACCTAGTTGTGTACACGATACTATCCTTCACCTAGTTGTGTACACGATATTATCCTTTACCTAGTTGTGTACACGATATTATCCTTCACCTAGTTGTGTACACGATATCATCCTTCACCTAGTTGTGTACACGATATTATCCTTCACCTAGTTGTGTACATGATATTATCCTTCACCTAGTTGTGTACACGATATTATCCTTCACCATCACCTAGTTGTGTACACGATATTATGCTTCACCTAGTTGTGTACATGATATTATCCTTCACCAAGTTGTGTACACGATATTATTCTTCACCTTCACTTAGTTGTGTATACGATATTATCCGTAATCTTTACCTAGTTGTGTACACGATATTATCCTTAATCTTCACCTAGTTGTGTACACGATATTATCCTTCACCTAGTTGTGTACACGATATTATCCTTCACCATCACCTAGTTGTGTACACGATATTATCCTTCACCTAGTTGTGTACATGATATTATCCGTCACCTTCACCTAGTTGTGTACACGATATTATTCTTCACCTTCACCTAGTTGTGTACACGATATTATCCTTCACCTAGTTGTGTACACGATAATATCCTTAATCTTCACCTAGTTGTGTACACGATATTATCCTTCACCTTCACCAAGTTGTGTACACGATATTATCCGTCACCTTCACCTAGTTGTGTACACGATATTATCCTTCACCTAGTTGTGTACACGATATTATCCTTTACCTTCACCTAGTTGTGTACACGATATTATCTGTCACCTTCACCTAGTTGTGTACACGATATTATCCTTCACCTTCACCTAGTTGTGTACATGATATTATCCTTCACTTCACCTAGTTGTGTACACGATATTATCCTTCACCTAGTTGTGTACACGATATTATCCTTAATCTTCACCTAGTTGTGTACACGATATATTCCTTCACCTAGTTGTGAACACGATATTATCCTTCACCTTCACTTAGTTGTGTACACGATATTATCCTTCACCTTCACCTAGTTGTGCACACGATATTATCCTACACCTTCACCTAGTTGTGTACACGAAATTATCCTTAATCTTCACCTAGTTGTGTACATGATATTATCCTTCACCTAGTTGTGTACACGATATTATCCGTCACCTTCACCTAGTTGTGTACACGATATTATTCTTCACCTTCACCTAGTTGTGTACACGACATTATCCTTTACCTTCACCTAGTTGTGTACACGATATTATTCTTCACCTTCACTTAGTTGTGTATACGATATTATCCGTAATCTTTACCTAGTTGTGTACACGATATTATCCTTAATCTTCACCTAGTTGTGTACACGATATTATCCTTCACCTAGTTGTGTACACGATATTATCCTTCACCATCACCTAGTTGTGTACACGATATTATCCTTCACCTAGTTGTGTACACGATATTATTCTTCACCTTCACCTAGTTGTGTACACGATATTATCCTTCACCTAGTTGTGTACACGATATTATCCGTCACCTAGTTGTGTACACGATATTATCCTTCACCTAGTTGTGTACACGATATTATCCTTTACCTAGTTGTGTACACGATATTATCCGTCACCTTCACCTAGTTGTGTACACGATATTATCCTTCACCTTCACCTAGTTGTGTACATGATATTATCCTTCACTTCACCTAGTTGTGTACACGATATTATCCGTAATCTTTACCTAGTTGTGTACACGATATTATCCTTCACCTAGTTGTGTACACGATATTATCCTTAATCTTCACCTAGTTGTGTACACGATATATTCCTTCACCTAGTTGTGCACACGATATTATCCTTCACCTTCACTTAGTTGTGTACACGATATTATCCTTCACCTTCACCTAGTTGTGCACACGATATTATCCTTCACCTTTACCTAGTTTTGTATCTGATTTTGTTTACGATACTGTCTCTGTACGTGTGTATAAATATACATGTGTGTGTGTGTAAACAAGTGTTATCATCTAAATCACACATCTGTTTATCACTTCAGACCAGCTAGTTACAGGTAGGTATAGTAGTTCATGTTTAAGCATTTTTACAATTATTTATTGATATCGGTTCTATATATCTAATTATGACGCTTTACCACTAGAAATTCTTGTTTTAAACCCTATATTGCAAGAAATAAACTGTTAAGTTCTTAAGTTATAACATTGTTTCAGGTGTCAAGCCTACCACTTTTATAAAAGTCCTTGTCGAAAATGGCGGATGTAGGCGGTAAGTTATCATTGTATGTCTGTATAATGTACATTGAAAAATACTATGTTGATGTGTTCGATCCTCTTACATGCTGGGTGATCAGCAAAACGCCCAGTATTCCATACTTCTATTTTGCTTTTAGTCTGGAATAACATGACATAATATGAATGGTGTTATCTGCTTGTTATGCATCCACGTTGTCATCAAAAGATTTATAGATACTATTTGAATATTGAAGCACAGATAGCATATTCAACTCACGTTATTTCCCTACATAATAAATAAGTTCAGGTACGACTACAAGGCCGGACTGATGTGACAAGTTGCGATAGCCCAGCTCTGGATTATCTTGTTTGAACTCTAACGTCCCATCGTCTGTGAATTTCCTGATAGAGTGTTAATCTGCTACAAATATATAAACTTACTAATATATCTTCTTTAAGAAACCATCATCAACAATATGATAAATAGGCCACTTATCATCTATCATAGGCAATAAACAGAACAAATACTGGATCAAGCATATCATTGACAACGATTTTGGTTTTACAGTTTATAACTTCAGTGAAGACTTTAAAGTGACCGAAGACGTTAAAAGGGATTTTGAAGAGCATGGCTTTGTTATTCTTAAGTATACAATTCTCTTATTTACACTGCAGTTACTTGACAATATTCTTACATTTCTGGTTTCTGTATTATCTATATGTATGTATTATATACCATACATTACCACTATCGTGTATTATATGTAATAACAACATCTAAGCTTGGGGTTACAAGCTGAGTTTTCTCACAGGAAGAGAAGTTCTGACAATCTGGACATTTCTGTTTTGTTTCTGTTGTAGTTATGTTTATTAAACTTCATCTTCACAAAATATTTAGGCGATTCTCTCATCGAACGTCTTGATTATAAAACAGTATATCCGCTATGATGCGTCACCTTACACGGCCTTCGGTTTAAAATGGCGGTACTTAATGCCTTATAAAGTACAGTGTGACAATTATGACACATATGTGTGGCTATTCCTTCTCCCACAGGCATTAGAAATCATGTAAACTTACACATCTGTGTAATCTTGATTTTATTCTGATGTTTAAACATTGTACAAAAAGTCACCAAAATACACAATTCATTTACGTACAATTTCCAAAATAGATGCTAAAGGGTTAGATAATTAATCAAACTCCACCAAACAACTGTTTTGGGCAAAAATAAGATATGACCGAGGCAAATCAGATTAGTGTCTACACCCTGCTATCTCGAAGGTTGTACAAAAGAAACGTCTTTCAATACAAATTTAAAATTGGATACAAAAGAAGAGCCAAGTAATGAATTAAAGTGCACCATACAGCTGTTTCATACTTTAAGGACTCGTCAGTGATTCTTAGGGTAAGATTTTGAATTAAGGTGTACAATTGTTGATATCTGTTAATGATAATACCCTCAAATTGATATTGTGTTTCTTCGATTTTGCGCTAAAGAGGATTATTGGACAAAGAAGAAGTGTCATTGATAGAAAGTGCCATCAAAGGACCGGGTTTCACCGAGAACATTTACGGGGCGAGTAAAAATATTTTTCAATTTCTATGACTTATCAGATGAACTGATCTTACATGACTAATTAATTACGTTTTAATATGCCAGTCAAAAAAGCTGTGATTTTGTTGTCCGAACATCGTGAATTTTTTTTCTTATTTCACCTTCAAACATTTATTACATTTAATACTATGCAATGGCACTGCAGTGCCATTTTGGTTCTGTGGTTGGTTAGAATAGAATTATCCCTCCGTATTTCTTTAACTATTTTTTTCGTAAGATCTCTGAATTTTTTTTTGGCTTACCTCAGCAGCTTGAAAAGCTTTATCAAAATGGCAAATCGTTTTGAGTGACATTTTAGTTTTACAGTGTTCTGAAGAGACATTGCCATTTAAGGTTTTCAGTATTTAGATCTTGTCTTGAGATCCTGTCTCTATATTTCGGACAGACCTCCTTAAGACAAAAAATTGCGACTTGTCGATGTTTTATCAAACGATTGTGATATTTCCAACAAGAATGTATTTTGCATAGGCAATAGAAGGGCGTACGTTGTATCACCTCGCGGAACTAGAATTAATATTCAGTATTATTTAAATATGTCGTATTAACTCCATGGTTGAATAAACCTTTGAACTAATCGCTAAGACTTTAATATATATTACAGTTAAATAGAAGACCAATTATTATGAGAATATCCCCTATTTATGTTCTTGGTACAGTTAAATACAATCACCTTTGTTAACTTTCAGGATCAGGAATATGGTAAGAAAACCGATAAGGTTTTATGGAAACACCCCGGAAATGACATTACGGGAATGTTGGCACGGAGTGAGAAAGTTGCAGGTATAACTGAGCAGGTACGGCCAACAGAAAGTGCCACAATATTGTTACAACTATGTAGCTAACACCTGGCTATCAGTACAAGATGCCACAATATTGTTACAACTATGTAGCTAACACCTGGCTATTAACATAAAGTGCCACAATATTGTTACAACTATGTAGCTAACACCTGGCTATTAACATAAAGTGCCACAATATTGTTACAACTATGTAGCTAACACCTGGCTATCAGCATAAGATGCCACAATATTGTTACAACTATGTAGCTAACACCTGGCTATTAACAGTAAGTGCCACAATATTGTTACAACTATGTAGCTAACACCTGGCTATCAGCATAAGGTGCCACAATATTGTTACAACTATGTAGCTAACACCTGGCTATTAACATTAAGTGCCACAATATTGTTACAACTATGTAGCTAACACCTGGCTATCAACATTAAGTGCCACAATATTGTTACAACTATGTAGCTAACACCTGGCTATCAACATAATATGCCACAATATTGTTACGACTATGTAGCTAACACCTGGCTATCAGCATAAGGTGCCGGCAAGCAGACAATGAACTTCCTGAAAATGTGGCTGAGAATAAATTAAGATGTTGAAATGATGAATTGGATATTTTTATATATGCTGAGACCCACTCATACACATTTGTAGAAATACTATGCAACTATTTTTTAAAGATGAGCGATACACACTCGCCATATTATATTAAAGTCTTTATCAAACTCGATACTGATAACCAATTAAATACACAAATTACTCATACATCCAGGCAACAAGAATCCCCGAATTCCTGAGGCGAGAATTCAGGGCCATACGTTGTACCAATCAGACATAAACATATATACTACTTTTACTCTGCCATCTTGTAAATCAGAAAGATAATTTTAGTATTTCTGTTTGATAAATTGCGATGTTCAGCTTCTAGGAGGAGAGGTATACCATTACCACACAAAACTGATGATGAAGGAAGGTGGACGGGGAGCAAGACACGTGTGGCATCAGGACTATGGGTAGGATTTTTTTTATTCAATTCTTAGTCACGTGTGGCATCAATACTCTGGGAAGTATGTTTTATAATGCAATTCTTAGTCATGTGTGCCATCAGTACCATGGGTAGGATGTTTTATAATGCAAATCTTAAAATGTCTTAATGTTACCAGATATCTTAATAACATATTTGATAGCCTGGTGTTGTATAATTCATTGTTTCGCTCTACTGTATTTAATTCTAAATTTGTATTGAAAGACGTGTGGATTCTTCTTTACATCGAGTGACATTAAGTACTGAATGCTTACGTATTGTTTTAGGTACTGGTACTGGAATGGCTGTCTATTCCCTGACATGCTGACCGTATTTATTCCATTGGACTATTGTAGGAAAGAAAACAGCTGTCTTCAGGTTTGTACCTACACACTGTTTTTGTTTCACAAGGATTTTATTCAATACTTGTATAGATAATTGGTATCTGTCATAATGCTTATTTTATTGTTGCTTAACGTCCTATTAACAGCCAGGGTGATTTAAGTACGTGCCAGGTTAGGGCATTGTGGTTTCCCAGAGTCAATGCCATTCGTTTCACTTTGTCACTGACCTGCGGCAGGTACCTGGAGACTGCCCGTGTACAATATAGTAAAATGTAATATTTAATATTGAATATGATGTTTACATGTTGCATTTGGAGTAAAAAAAAAGATAGCAAAGTATAAGACATATAATGACATCTTTGCACTAGTTACTACGGGGTTCCCATAAATGTGGCAGGATCGAACATAAGCCAATAGGAGAACAGAATGGATGTGACGTAGACCGAGTAAAGGAGATCATGGAGGTGTGCCCTCATCAGTTCATGGAAATGGACCCTGGTAACTATTAAGTTAATGTAAAATGAATAAATAAGTAAATCAAACCAAAACAACAATCTGCACTATCCGATAAAAGTGAAAGCGGTAATAATTCATAAGAACAGAATTAAGATTCAGTTAACACTGAACACATTGGTATTTTTGTTTTGTTTATCTACACTGTCTTTACACGGAATCAGAGGCCTTTAGCGCCATCAAACCAAGCCTCAACTAAGCTTGTACATGAATATCAAACCAATAGACGATATGGTCCTGTAATGCTGTCGGTTTTTTGGAATTCCTTTTTTTCATTTAGGAGATGCGATATTTTTCCATTGTAACATCATCCACTCTAGTAGTGACAATGACAGTGACAAGAGAAGGTGGGCGTTTCTAACAGCATTTAACAAGGCGACCAACAACCCAACTAAGGAACACCATCATCCGCAGTATACACCTCTCGAAAAGGTAGGTCTCAATCCAACAACAAATATGAACTATGACCTTCTCGAGAAGGTAGATCTCAATCCAACAACAAATATGAACTATGACCTTCTCGAGAAGGTAGATCTCAATCCAACAACAAATATGAACTATGACCTTCTCGAGAAGGTAGATCTCAATCCAACAACAAATATGAACTATGACCTTCTCGAGAAGGTAGATCTCAATCCAACAACAAATATGAACTATGACCTTTTCGAGAAGGTAGATCTCAATCCAACAACAAATATGAACTATGACCTTCTCGAGAAGGTAGATCTCAATCCAACAACAAATATGAACTATGACCTTTTCGAGAAGGTAGATCTCAATCCAACAACAAATATGAACTATGACCTTCTCGAGAAGGTAGATCTCAATCCAACAACAAATATGAACTATGACCTCGAGAAGGTAGATCTCAATCCAACAACAAATATGAACTATGACCTCGAGAAGGTAGATCTCAATCCAACAACAAATATGAACTAGGACCTTCTCGAGAAGGTAGATCTCAATCCAACAACAAATATGAACTATGACCTCGAGAAGGTAGATCTCAATCCAACAACAAATATGAACTATGACCTCGAGAAGGTAGATCTCAATCCAACAACAAATATGAACTATGACCTTCTCGAGAAGGTAGATCTCAATCCAACAACAAATATGAACTATGACCTTTTCGAGAAGGTAGATCTCAATCCAACAACAAATATGAACTATGACCTCGAGAAGGTAGATCTCAATCCAACAACAAATATGAACTAGGACCTTCTCGAGAAGGTAGATCTCAATCCAACAACAAATATGAACTATGACCTCGAGAAGGTAGATCTCAATCCAACAACAAATATGAACTATGACCTCGAGTAGGTAGATCTCAATCCAACAACAAATATGAACTATGACCTTCTCGAGAAGGTAGATCTCAATCCAACAACAAATATGAACTATGACCTTTTCGAGAAGGTAGATCTCAATCCAACAACAAATATGAACTATGACCTTTTCGAGAAGGTAGATCTCAATCCAACAACAAATATGAACTATGACCTTCTCGAGAAGGTAGATCTCAATCCAACAACAAATATGAACTATGACCTTCTCGAGAAGGTAGATCTCAATCCAACAACAAATATGAACTATGACCTTCTCGAGAAGGTAGATCTCAATCCAACAACAAATATGAACTATGACCTTCTCGAGAAGGTAGATCTCAATCCAACAACAAATATGAACTATGACCTTCTCGAGAAGGTAGATCTCAATCCAACAACAAATATGAACTATGACCTTTTCGAGAAGGTAGATCTCAATCCAACAACAAATATGAACTATGACCTTCTCGAGAAGGTAGATCTCAATCCAACAACAAATATGAACTATGACCTTTTCGAGAAGGTAGATCTCAATCCAACAACAAATATGAACTATGACCTTCTCGAGAAGGTAGATCTCAATCCAACAACAAATATGAACTATGACCTCGAGAAGGTAGATCTCAATCCAACAACAAATATGAACTATGACCTCGAGAAGGTAGATCTCAATCCAACAACAAATATGAACTAGGACCTTCTCGAGAAGGTAGATCTCAATCCAACAACAAATATGAACTATGACCTCGAGAAGGTAGATCTCAATCCAACAACAAATATGAACTATGACCTCGAGAAGGTAGATCTCAATCCAACAACAAATATGAACTATGACCTTCTCGAGAAGGTAGATCTCAATCCAACAACAAATATGAACTATGACCTTTTCGAGAAGGTAGATCTCAATCCAACAACAAATATGAACTATGACCTCGAGAAGGTAGATCTCAATCCAACAACAAATATGAACTATGACCTTCTCGAGAAGGTAGATCTCAATCCAACAACAAATATGAACTATGACCTCGAGAAGGTAGATCTCAATCCAACAACAAATATGAACTATGACCTCGAGAAGGTAGATCTCAATCCAACAACAAATATGAACTATGACCTTCTCGAGAAGGTAGATCTCAATCCAACAACAAATATGAACTAGGACCTTCTCGAGAAGGTAGATCTCAATCCAACAACAAATATGAACTATGACCTTTTCGAGAAGGTAGATCTCAATCCAACAACAAATATGAACTATGACCTTCTCGAGAAGGTAGATCTCAATCCAACAACAAATATGAACTATGACCTTCTCGAGAAGGTAGATCTCAATCCAACAACAAATATGAACTATGACCTTTTCGAGAAGGTAGATCTCAATCCAACAACAAATATGAACTATGACCTTTTCGAGAAGGTAGATCTCAATCCAACAACAAATATGAACTATGACCTTTTCGAGAAGGTAGATCTCAATCCAACAACAAATATGAACTATGACCTTGTCGAGAAGGTAGATCTCAATCCAACAACAAAGTTGAACTAGGACCTTCTCGAGAAGGTAGATCTCAATCCAACAACAAATATGAACTATGACCTTTTCGAGAAGGTAGATCTCAATCCAACAACAAATATGAACTAGGACCTTCTCGAGAAGGTAGATCTCAATCCAACAACAAATATGAACTATGACCTTTTCGAGAAGGTAGATCTCAATCCAACAACAAATATGAACTATGACCTCGAGAAGGTAGATCTCAATCCAACAACAAATATGAACTATGATCGAGAAGGTAGATCTCAATCCAACAACAAATATGAACTATGACCTTTTCGAGAAGGTAGATCTCAATCCAACAACAAATATGAACTAGGACCTTCTCGAGAAGGTAGATCTCAATCCAACAACAAATATGAACTATGACCTTTTCGAGAAGGTAGATCTCAATCCAACAACAAATATGAACTATGACCCTCGAGAAGGTAGATCCAACAACAAATATCAATCCAACAACAAATATGAACTATGACCTTCTCGAGAAGGTAGATCTCAATCCAACAACAAATATGAACTATGACCTTCTCGAGAAGGTAGATCTCAATCCAACAACAAATATGAACTATGACCTTCTCGAGAAGGTAGATCTCAATCCAACAACAAATATGAACTAGGACCTTCTCGAGAAGGTAGATCTCAATCCAACAACAAATATGAACTATGACCTTCTCGAGAAGGTAGATCTCAATCCAACAACAAATATGAACTATGACCTTTTCAAGAAGGTAGATCTCAATCCAACAACAAATATGAACTATGACCTTTTCGAGAAGGTAGATCTCAATCCAACAACAAATATGAACTATGACCTTTTCGAGAAGGTAGATCTCAATCCAACAACAAATATGAACTATGACCTTTTCGAGAAGGTAGATCTCAATCCAACAACAAATATGAACTATGACCTTCTCGAGAAGGTAGATCTCAATCCAACAACAAATATGAACTATGACCTTCTCGAAAAGGTCGTAGTTTCCCCCTTAGGCTTCATTAAACTGCATCCCTCAAAACAACGTTTTATTTATCTATCAGCACGAAAATCGTAATATTTAAATCAAACCTTTGAATTTCACTTCACCGTTGTTGATAAGCAGGGATGCTGCTGTCTAGAAAAGAAACATTCACAATAGCAAATAAAAACCGGTACATATTGACGAAAAAAATATCATATTTTGGAAATAGAATTCACTTTAATCTTCATTTTCGTTTGATAGGTGCCCAACTCTGCTATCAAAACTTGTAAGAACTTCACGGACATGACAGGTAAAATCTTCGTGGATCCAGCCAGAGACCTGACGTATAAAGGCAACTTTATGAACCTGAATCAATCCTAAGATCGCTGCTGATATACACTGATCAGTAGTTGTATACGTTATATAAAATTTGTGGCAATATCAATCTAAGAAGTTTGATAGAATTAAAACATTTAGCAATTTGGACAACGTGTAATTGGTTTTGTGAAATCAATGACACAGTGTACATTTTCTTTTTGATGTACAGCCTCTAGATAAATGATTGCATGGAGAAAGTGTGGTAATACGACAGCATTCGTTGTTTTAAACCATACCACGATCCTATACGGTCTTGTGTATATACCTATCTACTCAGATGACCTATATTTGGTCACATATTTTGTCTACTCGTCACTAGAGGACGTATGGTTTGTCGTTTTACAACTTGAATACTTAAATATCTTTTGAAAGTATCCATGTCTTTACTTAGATATTGTATATATATACATATATATAGAATTTTCATCTATCGTTTTAGTTGTACTAGCAACTACATGAAAGATGTAAAATGCATATTGCAACAGGTGTTTTTACGTGATATGACGTTTCACTGTTATATGATTGTTACCTTCCGACACACAGCACAAATAAGAGGACTTTTTATCATTAAAACTTTTCGTTAGCATATCGATGTAAATTTTATGATGGTTTTTACTCACTCAGGCGTCTTCTTGAAATTTATCTTCTCGTTGAAAAAAAAAGACAAGAAATCCCGTGCCACTACTGATTTTCACTTTCATGGCTACCCATCCTGTATCATTAAGATTGAGGTAGCTCTTACAATGATATGGATATATCGTCTGATTAGATATAGATTTAACACTAATGGATTTATAGCCAGCTTATTGTAAATAAATTGTAAAATTCTTAATTTTCGTGGTTGATTTATTTTCATTGATTACGTGACTACTGATTCAAGCAAGTTTTAAGCAGATTTATTGAGCTATGATTATTTACGAAATCAAGTGTTGAAGAAATACGATAAAAAAAAAGACGCGAAAACCGTCCCACGAAAATGTAGGGCTTTACAGCATAAGGGACTTGTAGTGTCCCGGTTATAAGTTGTGGTGCTATAAAATGGTAAATGATAATGTTGCTGTTGAGAAAACAGTATCTCCCTTCGCTGTTACGTCTGTTTGTTAGGTCGGTTTTGGAAAACGTGATGGCACATGGTGAAATATGGACCTAGACCCGTTTTTAGGATCCATTGTCATAATCAAGAATACAATTCAATAATACATATTGCCGAAGAAATTTTAAGTTTTGAACTTTTTTTTATTGTTCAGGGTTTAAAAATGTTAGGCCGTATCATTACATTTTGCTAGGTACACAAAAAAGTTCTTTTTGGTGTAAAACTGATGTAGTTATCGCGAAAACTATAGATAATACCATATTGGTGTTTTAAAAACTTTAAATGTCGTTCTTTGCACTATTCAGAAGAATATTAAAGAATTCGTTTTTATCGATTTTAGTAACTATAGTTAAATTTGGGTCTCTCTTGAGAACTTTGTTCCAGTCTACCACCATTTGTCCGTATGTAAATTTTCCGCCAAGTTCTACTGTTGCGTACACACGTTTCGTTTCCATGACAACATGTGAAGGGTCCACCATACATGCTGCTAAAAACTCGTCAGCTGGCGAATAGTTCCATCCCTGCTTGATAGAAAAGGCGACAGGTTTATCTTCAATAGCCTTCAGGAATTGATTTCGCTTCCCAGGGAAACTCCGTAGTTGGTGATACTGATCCTGAAATGAAGAAAAACAATCTGTATATACACTGTACTTGGTATACAATACGCAAAATTTCTAAGATAAATCCCCAGTCCTACAGCACCCCAGGTAGACAATATAGAAATTCTATTATCTCTACCAGTCTGACAGTACATTTAATAATATCGTGGTCAACAGAGAGAAATCCCCAGGCCTACAGGAAGGATATAGGATGAAAGTTAGATATATATCGATGAACCCTGTTACTCTCAAGATGTATCACCTGTTACTGTTACTGAACGGTTTGAAATCGTCTTCACTGTTTTAATAGTTTCAATTCGCCACATTGGTACAAGGTGTTCTGGTAAGTAATGTCACGCTCTCGAATAAGACAATGGCACACTTCTGAGTATCAAATACGTCCAATTTCAGATCGGACAAGAAATTAGAATATTTCCCTATGAGATCAATACCACGGCCATTAAACTTTCCCATAACTTACAAAAACCCGCATCCCTGGAAACTCTATGTAATAATGTTTTTTCTTGCAACAAGGCGACCAACAACCCAACTAAGGAACACCATCATCCGCAGTATACACCTCTCGAAAAGGTAGGTCTAAATCCAACAACAATCTTAATAACGATGTTAGAAATTCATCCTCTTCCATGTCAAAAGTAATACAAACATAGTTATTGACACAGAAAGTTAAATGTTCATCCCTGTTGTCTAGGAAACCGAGCATCATGATTATGACCTGTTTATAGCTAACCCAACTGATTTAGCAGAGTATCGAAGTGGGTATCCCTGTGAAAATTCTTATATACATATTTTTCCATTATCTGTACCCTATATCAGGACTTGTGTAGAATATTATACACAGAATAAGCCTGGTACAATGGTGCTTTCGATGTAAATACACTCTGTAATGGTAACTCTTAATATTTCTTTAGATGATCATTTAAAACTTAATTTGCCACAGCCGTAAAAATGTTTTGAAGTAGGTCGGGAAGATTTTGATTCTCTCTCTCTCTCTCTCTCTCCCCCCCCCCCCCCTCTCTCTCTCTCTCTCTCTCTCTCTCATATATACATACATAATATATAGACAAAATAAATACATAATATATTTTTACTTTCTACCTGACCAACGATAATTGACAAACATACCCAGGTGGGTCCGTTTTCCTCACAAACTTCCCAGCCAACTAGTGTGGTGGGACATCCCACTTGTTCCAGAGCTATGTAAGCTGCCTCTGGGTCAGCGTGAAAGTTGAATTCTGCACTCACTGTTATGTTACCTTTTCCTTTCAATCAAAGAAAAATTGTTTTACAAAAATACGAATTTGTTATTTCAGGATATTCACCAGGAACAATATATCAACAATTCAGTAAAATTGAGGAACACTGTCAAAACAAAAGGTTTGGTTACCATAGTATTTAGTGTGGAAATTAAAGGTTTGGTTACCATAGAATTTAGTGTGGAAATTAAAGGTTTGGTTACCATAGTATTTAGTGTGGAAATTAAAGGTTTGGTTACCATAGTATTTAGTGTGGAAATTAAAGGTTTGGTTACCATAGAATTTAGAGTGAAAATTAAAGGTTAGGTTACCATAGAATTTAGTGTGGAAATTAAAGGTTTGGTTACCATAGTATTTAGTGTGGAAATTAAAGGTTTGGTTACCATAGTATTTCGTGTGGAAATTAAAGGTTAGGTTACCATAGTATTTCGTGTGGAAATTAAAGGTTAGGTTACCATAGAATTTAGCGTGGAAATTAAAGGTTAGGTTACCATAGTATTTAGTGTGGAAATTAAAGGTTTGGTTACCATAGAATTTATTGTGGAAAGTAAAGGTTTGGTTACCATAGTATTTCGTGTGGAAATTAAAGGTTTGGTTACCATAGTATTTAGTGTGGAAATTAAAGGTTTGGTTACCATAGTATTTCGTGTGGAAATTAAAGGTTTGGTTACCATAGTATTTAGTGTGGAAATTAAAGGTTTGGTTACCATAGTATTTAGTGTGGAAATTAAAGGTTAGGTTACCATAGAATTTAGCGTGGAAATTATAGGTTAGGTTACCATAGAATTTATTGTGGAAAATTTAGAGTGGAAATTAAAGGTTAGGTTACCATAGTATTTAGTGTGGAAATTAAAAGTTTGGTTACCATAGTATTTAGTGTGGAAATTAAAGGTTAGGTTACCACAGTATTTTAGCGTCCAAATAAAAAAGTTACCATAGTATTTAGAAGTTCCAAACGTATTAATGAGGAATGAAAATGTAAGAGCAATTACATAACAAAAGTTCAGGTTACCATAATAGTTGCCTCCCATAATAAAACAGTCTCTCAATCGGCTACCGAAGTCTGGGTCCACTTTCAGGGCTGTCGCAAGGTTGGTAAGTGGACCAATACACATAAGAGTTATCTCCCCTGTAATAAAAAAAAAGACGTGAGTATATTTCTATGATAATTCATGTTTGGTGTTCTTAAATATGTTCGAAAGTGTTTTATCAACCCTGTAAGAAGAGAAAGATTCTTCTATAAATAGAAAGCAATGCACTTTGTTTTAACCTGGCAACAGATGCCGACTCGGAAGGTAACGTGAAGCTAGGAAACCGTGCAGCGGGCAGAATCGGAACCATTATGATAGATTTTTTAAAATCATTTTAAAAACAATACCTTTTTATAATCAAACTTTCGAAAGAAACGTTCCTTGGGTTCTTAACGAGCAGAGAATGTATTCTATTTAAACCGAATTCTTCATTTCAAAACGGTAAACCTTCATTTGTTTTTGTTTTAATTTACCTTTACAGTTTCCATACGTCAGGGACATCAATTTTATATATAACGTTAACATCTTGTTTCAATGTATCCTCAACATTCTGTAAGAAATGAGTCGAGTAACACGAAGTACAGATTGAAACACAATATGTGGAATTATCCAACGTTTTCTATTTCCGGTGGAATGTCTGTAGACTTGTTAACTAAGAAACGATCGATGGGGGGAACCTTAGCTGTTGCAGATTAAAACGCTATACGTGTAGTGCCAATTTACCTGGAAGTTCCTTCGTTAGCCGGATCATCGCGTCCGTCGCTGTTTCTGTCTGTAGGACACTAACATCTGGTTCCTGTATTGATGGACAATCTCCCAAGCCGTCGTCTCCTTGGTAAGAATTTTTTATTGCTTTTTCGCCAAGAATGGAGAAAGGACCTCCGGAAAAAACTGGGACCTGATCACAACAGTAACAATGTTAAATCATCTTTAATAGTCTAAGAAACATTGAGTAGAATTTTACCTTATTTATCTTCTTTTATCCTTCTAGGTATCTATACAAATAATGAGATTTTCTCAATGCTTGGCATTGTTGACGTCACGTCAGTGAATTGTTGATGTGACGTCATACCATTGTACCAACAGCAGAAGAATTCCTCAGGTTATGCCGAACAGATTCTGTTACCTTTATGTGTTTGATATAAATTTATTTCTGTGACTGGACAAAGCCCGGTGTTGACAATACAAACTCTCATTCGAGAGTTCCCAGTCCACGTAATAGACTCTTGTTTTGTTAATTTTCTCACTGAAATCAACAGTAACAAATTGTAAGTATTGTTGTTTAACATATTCATCGACTCACCATAAACGCCCCATGAAATGTGCGTCTAAGTTGATGACGTTATCAGTTTGTGACATGGCTACACTGCATAAACCGATGAAGCTATTACGGAAAGCATCGCAGCACGTGCCATGCGTCTTTCCCTACCCCGTGTGAGATATCCCATCCCTAGCAACCACGGGGGTCACCATGTGAAATATGTGAGGTAAGAAAATATTATCCATCTAAAGGTTTGGATATGAGTGTCAAAGAGAGAAAAAAAACTTATAATTGATGTTAAACGTGTGACAAAGTAAACGTTAACATCGCTTTTACTTACATTCAGTCTGTTAGCTGCTCGGAGAATTTTCAGAACATTGCGTGCAACCTGCTCCACGCCGCTGTTGCCCCTGACGCACGTGATACCAATGACGTCATACACGTTCGAGTCCAACATGATGAAGATTGCTTGTGCATCGTCTATACCGCCATCGGTATCTATGACCAGCTTTTTCTTTTGTGTAGCCATTTTCGTTTACTAGGCGTGTCTGTGAACCGCAACGAATGAATGTGGGTCATATATACTGAACAAAATAAGTTAAGGATCATAAACTTGAAACAGTGCAGTTTTACATACAAATAATAATATGATTATATTTTAAATTTTAATGACAGAACATTCATTTTAGTCTTTAATTACACAAAACAAATTCATTTGTGGTAATTGCTACCAAGAGCAGATAACCCTGAGTAACAGCACCCTTGAAATCAAAGTGTAAGAGGAAGTAGAGCAAGTTAATCATGTAGACAAGGAAAACTCATCAAACTGCAATTGGCAGTTTAATAGGCAGTATGACCTCCGTTGACATCAATAACTGCCCTGCAACGTCTGCACATGCTCCTTATTAGTCGTCGGTGGCTGATCTGTGGGATGCGCTGCCATTCCTCTTGCAGAGCAATCATAAGCTGTTGGCGGTTCTGTGGCGGATTAGGTCGAGCTGAAACCCGGCGTTGCAAGGTGTCCCAAGCATGCTCGATAGGGTTCAGATCAGGAGAACGACTTGGCCAGTTCATGCGAACGATTGCTTCACGTTGAAGATAGTCGTTGACCACACGAGCACGGTGAGGACGAGCATTATCATCCATCAAAATAAAATCATGGCCAACAACTCCTGCAATGGGCCTTACTATAGGGTGTAGAATCTCGTCCCTGTATCGAACAGCTGTTAAAGATCCATTGTCTATGATGTAGAGGTCTGTATGGAAGTCAACACTGATCCCTGCCCAAACCATCACTGACCCACCACCAAAGCGATCATGCTGGACAACACAGCAGTCTGCATAGCGCTCTCCTTGGGTTCTCCATACCCTCCTCCTACCGTCATGGAAGTCAACACAAAACCTAGACTCATCTGTGAACATAACATTTCTCCAATGACGTAATTGCCAATTCAAATGATGAGTGGCCCATTGATGTCTGGATTGTCGATGACCTCTGGATAAAATTGATCGGACTGCTGGTCTTCTAGCTCGTAAATTAGAGGCATGGAGTCTGTTTCTGATTGTCTGGGATGAAATCCTTAGATTTGTAGCACGCTGAAACTGAAGATTCAAGACAGGAGCACTCAAAAACCGCTGACGTCGTGCCGTGATGCAAATGAATCTGTCCTGTCGGGCTGTCGTACAGCGTGGTCGTCCAGATCTGGGGCGTTGACGGACGTTATTTGTCTGTTGATAGCGATTCCATAGCCTACTAATCACGCTCTGAGAAACATGAAGCTGTGCCGCCACATTTCGTTGAGTTTGACCAGCTTGAAGGAGCCCTCTAGCTCGCGCGGCTTCCATATCATTTAAATGTCTTCGCATGATTAGTTTTTCAAGTTTTCGTTACAAATTGATTAAATGTTTCCAAATTCAACTTTTTTTAGCTTAGAAGTAACAGAATCAAAACCTGCAAGATTCCTCTGTAGTAATAGACCAGTCAGTTTTTCACACCACCATAGTTAACTAGAGGGGAACGGCAAGACCTTCAGATGCACGTGCTTTCACCTTTGACATGACTTTAGGTACATATTGGAGAAACTACGAGTGCAATTACCGGCAATACATGATTTGAATTTTTAAAGATATTATGGTCACAATTTATGATCCTTAACTTATTTTGTCCAGTATATATAGTGGGTAATATTATGCTGGTGCATTAGTCAGAAACTCCGTAGTAATAGGGGTAGTAGTTACTTCAAAGTGTTTGAATCGGACTGATAAAAAAGTATGTGTCCAACAGCCGGACATGTTTACCGTTACATGTGAAGATGATTCTTATCTACACCTGAAAAATAATGATTAGATAAGTATTTAAATAATAATCCGAGTTTTTATGTTAATGACCGTGGCGACTTAACAAAACCTGCTCTGAATACATCACGAGTAAATTAGATAATTTGACCACACGCGGACATTGTACAAGTTTACTTGCCGCAAGATACGTTATTTAATGTCCAGTTCATATGTCGTCTGGTTCCTTCATCAACAAAGCTTCTTAACCATCATGCTCAAAAAGATGAACTCTCTAACCATAAATTCAATATCGATTATCTACTACTCTTTGTCGCTCTCATACTTAACTTAATTCCTAAAAAACTCGTTCAATACGAAATCAGATTTTAGGGGAAATAACGTTTTAGTTCCAAAATCACGTTAAAACGTGGTCTGCTTCCTGGCTCGCGGTAACAAGATGGCGGCGTCGATTTAGATATAGTGAATGGGCAACAAATGTTTGTTGATCAAAGGTATTTTCAGTTCATAGAACTTATAAATCTGTTACATAACCTTTACGCACGGTATTCATGGCACGTGTATCAATGACAAGAGTAAGAAATCACAAAATGAAGGCATAATTCAGACAGAAGTGGCGAAGCGTTAAAAGCCTGGAAAAGACGACCGGTTACGACTAAAGAATTGAAGCTTAGCTGGAACATACATACACACAAAACATGTACCAAAAATCGTTTCCTGGCACACATTTTTAAGTATTTTTATCTTTATAAAATGTTACATCCCGATCAATGCATTCCAGTAACACACATTTATATATACATGTAAATACGTATTACACATTAACTTGTAACAATAATAATGGAATATTTCATCTGTGCAGACTTCTTGACATAAATGCATTGTTTCAGTTTAGTGTAAATATTCTTTGTATTCACTAGGCATTCATTACAAAATACTTAATCCAGAAAAAAATATCTGTCCGATATAAAAATTAAGATCTTAAATCTCTTTTGTTGTGTGCTTTTTATCTCTTTTATGTGTTTTTTTGTTTTGTTTTGTTTTCTTTGTTTTTTGTTTGTTTGTTGTTTTTGTTTTGTAACTTTGATAAAGTAAATACATGTAAAATTATTCCTGTCATTTTACGTGCGATATAAAGACACATACTGTTTTTTTTTTAATTTTATGTTGTGGTTGGTTATCAACTATGGAGCCGCTTTTTAGGGCTTGAAGTAAACCACATACTGGCCTTATGGGTTATCGTAGTTATCAACTTGGTATGTATTCTTTCTTCTCTGTTCTAGTTGTATATGTCATTCAAATTTTAAATTTATGATATCTTAATGCATACAAGTTCTTTATCAATTACTCATGATCTGTGATTTATTTATTTATTTTGTAATGTGACCTACGACTGCTGAGTATTTTACCCGAATAAATATTGCCAATTCTCATGCATAATACAATCCAAGTACACGCCAAATTCACCCGTACATGTAGCTGGATTCTGAGAGGTGTGAAGTTTTGGGACACTGTATCCACACTCTGTACATGTATATGCATCATAAAAGGCTTCACGGTGGAATTTCCGGTTAAAAGAACAGTTTCCTGTTTTAGGAATTCCTAATATTATAGTCTTGACTAAATGATATTTATAGAAAGAAAATTAGGGAATAGAAAGCACGCCTATCTAGAACTCCAGCGATCAGACTGGAATTGAATAGGAAAAACTGATGAAACCACGACCTACATACTTGCCACGAGACGACAGCCCTGTACCTGACCTTTAATATAAACTTTGTACAACACTCGTACGGTAGGCTGTACACGTTATCAACATGTTCTATACATAAATACCGACACATGTACAGGCCAAGGTGTTTTACGGTCAGTTCCTAACTTTAAGTCTGTGTGTGACAGCATGTGTCATTATCCTTGGAACTGGAATTTATACCCAGCTCGTGTTGTAGTCTACAAATACCTGTCGAAAAGTAAGCACTCCTGTAATGTTGTTGTCTTTTACTTACCGGCTCCCTATCGTATGCAGGCAGCCATGTTTGCTGTACTGGGTATTTCCTTAGCAAAACTGGAATTTCCGTACTATTTTAGTACAACGAATGTCATTGGACAGTATCCCACATTCACCATTTTGCCATATACGATCCGTAAATCGGATCATGCTACGAAGGCATAATATATTTATACACAATCCAAATATACAAGGCTTCAACATTTAACCGAATAATGTGTGGTCTTACATTTTAGCGTATCTTTACCCAAGGGTAATGTTATGGGTGCAGATTTTGGAATTCATCATCAGTTCGACAATCTTGTTTAAATAGTACCATGCCATTCCACCGCATACCAAACACTCTATAGATATCACGACAACAAATAAAAAAAAACTCATCATTAATGAATGATACAACTAATTGTTATACCGATTTTTCTGACAAAAACTGATATTTTAAAACAATTAACAATCTAAATCTGGTTGAAATTGAGATACTAAAGCGTTTACACATTTTCTACAACAACTCATATGATCATATCCATACTTTTTTTTTCTTTTCATCATTTTCTTTATCACAAATGTCAGTCAAGCACAACAGTATCTATAGATAGGACATTTCCTAACAGGTCTAACATTATCATTAAAGTTATCCAGTTTGAGAAAAATAAGGAACGATTATTTTCACCTGACATGACAGAATTGCGTATGTATACCACCTGTCCTAACTCCTCGGCATTGTAAGGTTTCCGACTATGTACTTTGCAGATAATACCTCATGTGTTGGTCAGTTTGAAGGTCATTGTTTGGTTAAAACTACCTTGTAGACACAAGAACAAATCAAATGGACCAAACACTCGGTCAAGAAAATTAAAAAAAAGGTTGTTGTGAGTTTTGTATATAATTTCTTCATGTCTGAAAGTTATAATATGATATGTGGTAATGGGTGATAAAACAGATACTAATGAAAGTGAAGAAATACAAGAAATACCGATCACATCTCGTATTTTCTCGTTTTAATGCTGCGTATTTTTCAATTTTACACACCCGGTATAGAGAAAAAAATAGTAAAGAGGACAAGGGATGTACAAATTGTACCCTATACAACACTGACTGGAGCTTCAGTCAAACTTAATCTTGATGTTACAATGTCAAATTTCCGAGACTTTGCTGTATCATGCCGAAAGGCACGAATCCTTAAGTCTTGAAATAATTGGGATTCTTTAAGGTCGTTAGTCTCATTAGGAAAATAACATTACAGAATAAAAGTAGAAGTCGTGGCCGATTTCCGTTTTGTGGTATGTCTTTTTTCATTTTTATATCATTTATGAAAAAAAATATTCAAGGTTAAAAAATAATAATAATAATAACAAAAAAAAAACAATGAAAAAAAAACAAAGAAAAACAAAAAACAAAAGTCCGTACGAAAGGAGTAAATGATTTTCTCTTATCTATGTTGAATACAGGGAGAGAATATTAACACTACTCAAGACTTTTCTTGCAATTCTGCAGGTACTGATTCATTTCTATTACAGTGTTGTCCTGAGGACATTTTTACCCAATCGTCGTCGATTTGTCAAGCGTTGCTTAATCAAATATTAATTCCCTCTTCGTCTACTTTAGTGTCGATTTTTAACAATGAATATGTAAACATTTTAAATTAAACTCTGATTTTATGTTCTTCGGATTATTTTGTAAATTATTGTATTCACGTCCTGCCAAGTAGTCACCTGTATGGAAAAACAAACTACGACGGCTGTTGTTTTACACATTAAATAAGTAATTTTAATTAAATCAGCTGGTCGTGGGACGAACCCATTACAAGCAGTGCAATCGAGAGTTACTTCCCTTTAAACAGTCAATGAAAACCTAATCGTCTGACGAAGATCGAGAGAGTGCGCTGTCAACGGTAATATTATCATAAATGTTGGAAGAGAATGAATTAATCAATAATGAATGAACACTGGACTTGTTTATCCAAGGCAAACCAGATGGAGGTTTGCAGTTCTAGTGTTACAAACGTGTATTTCTAGTTCCGTAAGATACCAACCTCTAAATCTTAACTCAATATCCAAAACCTTTTCTATAAAGAACAATCGTCTGAGTGAAATGGAACGAATACAAACCAGGGAGTGTTTCCACATAATGAAGTTAATTGGATAAAATAGAACATTTGGTCCTTAAAGCGACTATAATGTTAAAAACACTACGAGAAAACGATATAAAACGTTCTATTTTCCAATAGAATGTTACAAAACTAAGACTTTCTGTTAATTACTAAAATTAAAAGTGACTGCAATCATTCTTTTTTTCATCTTTGATTTTTTATCGATATCTAAAATATAAAGAATGTAAACAGTGCGCATGCGTATAAGCCTAAAAAGAAGCAATATGGCGGACGCAAATACGAAAAGGCGATGAGGACCTAAAAGTTAGCTTACAGAAAGTGACAGAAAGTGTAAGAGGAAGGAGACAGACCAGAAAAGAGGACAGACAAGAATTTATTTTAGACAAGAGATCGTTAGATGGCGAAATATGAAGGAGGATCTGCGAAGCTGTTGCTTGACTGATTAGCGTAACGTCAGCCCTATAATTAAAACGTATCCGTCTGTCATTGATTATAATCCAATATCCAGTGTTTGACGCGTGAATATATTATGAACAGCACTACTAAAAGTGTTATCTGATAAATGCTGAATGAAATTAGTTGTGTTATTCGCTTAAATTTACTATCGACAACGTGTGTTTGTTGTTAACTGCAAGTTGGGACCAAATTGGGGGTATTCGTTCTAAGAGTAAAAATATGACGGTACTGGTGTTACTGTGAGAATAACAACCGTGGTGATAAACATAACATTCATAATAAAAACATAGACACATCTTGAATGGTAAACAATATATATTAATGTGTACAGACAAAGTATCGATTACTGTGCATTTCTGCACAATGAGTTTTTTTTTTCTTTTCCTATTGTAATTACCCCCTTTGGGACCCCACTAGTATAGCGCCCGCGATTAACATAGATAATTCTCGCACGACAAGCCAAAACAAACCGAATTACTAAGATTGATTGTTAAAATTATATATCATGTCACTATAGAATCATTTACGGCAACCAACAAAAGACATGTGTGTTTGTTTACACTTTCAATCCACGTGACAAGCCATGTGACCCACTCGGTTTTCTTCTTCTTCTTAATAAACCGAGCGTGAACGTGATTTGTATGTATCTGTACTCTTGTCACGATCACTATATCTCTAGGTGTCAGGCGGAGGAGGACGAACAAGTGTCTGTTCTCATGTCACGATCTCTATATCACTGGGTGTCAGGCGGAGGAGGACGAACATGTATCTGTGATCCTGTTACGGTCTCTATATCACTGGGTGTCAGGCGGAGGAGGACGAACATGTATCTGTCCTCATGTCACGATCTCTATATCACTGGGTGTCAGGCGGAGGAGGAAGAACATGTATCTGTCCTCATGTCACGATCTCTATATCACTGGGTGTCAGGCGGAGGAGGACGAACATGAATCTGTCCTCATGTCACGATCTCTATATCACTGGGTGTCAGGCGGAGAAGGACGAACATGTGTCTGTCTTCATGTCACGATCTCTATATCACTGGGTGTCAGGCGGAGGAGGAAGAACATGTGTCTGTTCTCATGTCACGATCTCTATATCACTAGGTGTCAGGCGGAGAAGGAAGAACATGTGTCTGTCCTCATGTCACGATCTCTATATCACTGGGTGTCAGGCGGAGAAGGACGAACATGTGTCTGTCCTCATGTCACGATCTCTATATCACTGGGTGTCAGGCGGAGAAGGAAGAACATGTGTCTGTCCCCATGTCACGATCTCTATATCACTGGGTGTCAGGCGGAGGAGGAAGAACATGTATCTGTCCTCATGTCACGATCTCTATATCACTAGGTGTCAGGCGGAGGAGGAAGAACACGTGTCTGTCCTCATGTCACGATCTCTGTATCTCTGGGTGTCAGGCGGAGGAGGACGAACATGAATCTGTCCTCATGTCACGATCTCTATATCACTAGGTGTCAGGCGGAGAAGGACGAACATGTGTCTGTCCTCATGTCACGATCTCTATATCACTGGGTGTCAGGCGGAGGAGGAAGAACATGTGTCTGTCCTCATGTCACGATCTCTATATCACTGGGTGTCAGGCGGAGGAGGAAGAACATGTGTCTGTCCTCATGTCACGATCTCTATATCACTGGGTGTCAGGCGGAGGAGGAAGAACATGTATCTGTGATCCTGTTACGGTCTCTGTATCACTGGGTGTCAGGCGGAGGAGGACGAACATGAATCTGTCCTCATGTCACGATCTCTATATCACTGGGTGTCAGGCGGAGGAGGACGAACATGAATCTGTCCTCATGTCACGATCTCTATATCACTGGGTGTCAGGCGGAGGAGGAAGAACATGTGTCTGTTCTCATGTCACGATCTCTATATCACTAGGTGTCAGGCGGAGAAGGAAGAACATGTGTCTGTCCTCATGTCACGATCTCTATATCACTGGGTGTCAGGCGGAGAAGGACGAACATGTGTCTGTCCTCATGTCACGATCTCTATATCACTGGGTGTCAGGCGGAGGAGGAAGAACATGTATCTGTCCTCATGTTACGATCTCTATATCACTAGGTGTCAGGCGGAGGAGGAAGAACACGTGTCTGTCCTCATGTCACGATCTCTGTATCTCTGGGTGTCAGGCGGAGGAGGACGAACATGAATCTGTCCTCATGTCACGATCTCTATATCACTAGGTGTCAGGCGGAGAAGGACGAACATGTGTCTGTCCTCATGTCACGATCTCTATATCACTGGGTGTCAGGCGGAGGAGGAAGAACATGTGTCTGTCCTCATGTCACGATCTCTGTATCTCTGGGTGTCAGGCGGAGGAGGACGAACATGAATCTGTCCTCATGTCACGATCTCTATATCACTGGGTGTCAGGCGGAGGAGGACGAACATGAATCTGTCCTCATGTCACGATCTCTATATCACTGGGTGTCAGGCGGAGGAGGAAG